CAGGCCTAAAGAAAGACCTGAAATAGGCAGATTTAGCTCTTGCATAATGTATGTTTAAATCAAAAGATAACCAATAATATTTTTAAACCTATCCTATGTTGGGAGGGCATCTTAATCCTATACTGAGGGTCCTTTTTCTACTTATACACTAAATTATATAAACGAGGACTAAATATGCGATAAATGTTCCAATATTAACCCGCCAGCATTGATATACTACAAAATCAACAAGAGCATGTCTCTCACAGCCCAAAATTCATCCACGTCACGGAGAAAGCAGGGGAAGATCCAGAGAGCCGCCCCCCCCCCCCTTATCCGCTGGGCTACATAAAAAAAAATATTAGAAAAATGTCCTGGTCGTGTGCTTTATCCTTTATCGTCATATGGGGAGATGGGTTGAGCATTCAATATTTCAAAGCGTGAGATAATGATACAGGCATATGTGATATCACAATTAATGCTTTGCATCAATGAAATTGAATCACAATGTCATCGTATTAATTCATGATAAAAATTGACGTCAAACGGTGCGTTTTATTTCTCTCTTTAAAAAGCTCAGTGGGTATGTACAGACGCAAAAATGACGATAGAGACCATGTATTTCTCAAAAATTTTCAAGGCCGGGGTAGGGGGTAGTGGGGAAGAGCCCCCCCCCCCCCGACTCTGCCTCCCCAAAAATACATTGCAAACACCCTCCTGCAAACATTCCTGGATCCGCCCCTTGACAGCCCCCGGCCCCGATCTTCCCAAACGATATAAATAATGAAATGAAATGAAATAGGGTTTAACGTCCTACATGTACATATAAATAATGGGGTTTTGCCCGTGCAAAATCAGCGGTCATCACGCCTCAGACGGGAGATGATAAATTCCCACACGCCGGGTTAGCTTTATACAATTCAAATTGAATAAAGGGGACGCGTGTTCAGTTATTTATAAAATATACACTTACCATAAAACACTCTTCAGTTTATTATCTAACTAAATTCTGCACGCATCAGTTGAGGTGTCTGAACGCAATAAAAATCCTTCACATGCCCATACACATGCCCACACACCTTCAACCGAGCTAATGAAGACGGGCATACGCCACGCAGTGTGATGTATGATGGAAATTTTGCCCAAACAACGGTGCTACAGCCTACTCTTATTTTCGACTGCCAACTGTCAAGGATGTTTTTTTTACGTGCACACCAACTTGTACACAGGATCTCGGTTTTTCGCCCCATTCGAAGGACTAGACACTGTTTCTTGTCAGGTCTGCAATCCTGCACAACAATAGAAAGGTTTCTTTAATTAAGATGGGGTATGCAATGTCGAAGATAGATTGTGTCTGACTAACTTACACTCGTAACAATTTCCTTCTATCTACCTACATCCACACGTTGTGAATGGCTGCACGCGAGCTATGCGCATTCATACGTCATTAAAGCCACAGACCGTCACTTACAATCTAATTAAAACACAGATCCTATTTCGTTTCGTTTTTTATAGTTCAAAATTTCGTTTTACTTGTCTTTACAGGATCTGGAAGAGTTGTTATGTTACCAGCGTTTTGATTGAAGTGAGGGATAAGCCAATGAAACAATCTGTTACGGCGGCTTCTTGGCGTGTCCTGCACTTAACTGTGGATAAACCACTAGAAACGCCAACGCTGACTGAGTACAACTAATTGTTAGATCATCATGTAGTGTAGGCATTAGGCATTATGTAAGAGCTACATCTGCCTATTGCAGGTCTATCTTTAAAATGTTGTATAAACTATTAATTAGATACATTAGACCATAATCAACTCTCGACGCCATCGGATGCCTGCGATGCAAGTAGTTTTAAATACGTTTTGTGGTCGATGCGGTTACCGTAAAAATAGATACAATCTGATTAAAATACAAGGGCCTGTTTCACCAAATTTTAACTAAGATAAAATCCAAATTTTAGTAATTTGATTGGATAATATTAGATAGATTTTAGTGCTTAGCCAATCAAAATTGAAGTATCTACTAAAATTTGGATTTTATCTTTATCTTTAGTTAAGATTTCGAGAAACGGGCCCCAGATCTATATTTCCTTTCGTTTTTTTTATACTTTCGATGGCCTACACTATATGAAGATTTGACCGGTTGCAGTGGAAGGTCGTGCCAGGGGTCATACGAGCGGCTTTTGGCCTTATGACGTCAGACATTGATTAATCAATCAGCTTGACGTTTTTAGTGGCTTTACCTACCGTTCCGTGCACCGCACGCAAAGAACTCGAGGTAGCAGACCGTTTCATTGCCCTAATCCCACACATCAACCAGAACGCGGGTTATATAATAACTCTTTCAGATCCTAGTGTTGTGAAGACAAATAAGACGAGTTATTCCACACCGTCGTATGAAAAGTGTTGTGTACATATAGAGGAGCCACGGTGGCTAAGTGGGTAAGACGCTGGCTGGCTAGCCTGGAGGTAGGGTGTTCGATCCCTGCACTGGCCGTGAATGTTCATCCGGATTTTCCGACGTCGTTTCCACTTGTCGGGTCCCGTGTATACATTGGCGTACACGTATATAATCCCCTGGCGGTTGGAATTAGATATAAGGGAAGGCTGTAGTGCCGCTGCCCGGGCAAAATTTCCGCCATAGCACACGCTATGGCGTATGCATGTGTTCATTAGCCCAGTCGGAGCTGAACAGTAGGACGTCAAACCCCATTTAGCGTCCTAATGTTCTGCTGCTACTGGGATAATGAAAACGGCCTGTGCGTGGTAATGTCAGAACTAAATTTGCATCGCGATTCACAGAATCACCCAATTCTCGTCTTCACAAAAAGACATTATTCACTGGCGTGGTTGTGTAGATTTTAAGAGAGGCATGGGCTGTTAGGAGAGATGCGGGGTAGGAGGTGGGTGGAGGTAGGAGGTTGGAGTTTTTTTTAAAGGGGGGGGGGGGATAATGAGTGAAAATAAAATTAGAAATTATCGTTGTAAAAGTTGTACTTCCCTGAATAATTATACTCACGCAGTACAAATAATTAAATATTTAAAGGAGCCATATCTCTAACTCAGTATTTCCCATGACATTAGAAATTGAAAATACGAATTAGAATTAAATGTTGACCCATTTCAATCAATATTGATGTTAATGTTATCTTGCCGTGAAAATATGAGATCCTAATATCCAATATTTAAGACACAATGAACATTTTAAAATCAGTACATGCGTACTTTGTGGTTTCGGATGTCATTTGTAATCAACAAAGAAAAACATATCCTATAAGACAATGCGGAAGTAATTAGTAATAACTGATTCATAAACAACAAAATAATAATTACAAAGCGTGTAGAATGGACTACGTAGGTGTAAACGACTTTCGTTCTAATTGGATTGTTCATGTATTTCACCCAATTTAATTGACCAGAAATTACAATTAATATTTAAAAAATTGAATATATATCACTTTAGATTGATTTATATTACATTAATATGTGATTTTAGACAAATTTAAGATTCCGAAGAATAAAGTCATACGCCCTTTTAAACAAAATGTGGACAGAAGCTTCCAAGAGATATAGAAAAATGTACTGTGCAGGCCCGGCGGAGTGGGGGGCTAGGGGGGGGGGGGGCTTTAGCCCCCCTCCCCCAATAATTTGGCCGCAAGTACTCTTTTCTCCAGGTTATTGCGGCCCCTGGACCAACTCCTTTAAGGACATAGGATGGAAGCCCCCCCAATCAAGAATTGCTTCCGCCGGCCCTGCTGTACTGGCATGGTCCCTTCCGTTCTAGGTCCAGGCTGTTAGGTGTTGTGAGGTTAAAGCAAAGTGTCCGAGGTGCCCCCAAAGTACATAAATTTTAATGTCAGATGTAGTTTCCTGAATAATTATAAAAATATTAAAATGTGAGCAGATGCCTTCGGGAAACCCGCCATGGATATAGGACAATGTACTGCGGCACGGTGCCTTCCGGTGCAGGTTCAGGCTGACAGTTGTAGTGAGGCGAAAGAAAAGTGCCCGGAATGACACCCGCCGCCACCCGAAGTACCTAAATGTCTCGTAGTCCCGACCACGACCTTGACGGTGTGATTTCGCATTATATAATGACGCAGAACTCGTATTATTAGGCATGTTGAAGGGCATTCAAAGTTACACAATGATGTCATCAAACTAAATTATTGTAAGCTATTGAAAATAATTTCTTTTTATTTGCAGATTAAATAAAAGGGATACATGATGACGTTATTAAACTGAATTACAGAAAATCAGTTCTATTGATTCGCGAATAAAAAATCAAATTTTTATTCTACAATCTGACAAACTATTCAAATAAACGTTTGAAGTATTGTTGCGATATAGCTGTAAAGATAACATCAATGATGGGGACAAAACAGTTAGAACGGGGGTGATTGTTGTATTGGTAGTATTTTCACTTTGGCAACTTGTGATGTGTATAAAACGATGACTTTTACTTTTTTCGTTTGTTCGTCAGGATTAAAGGGCGTACACATGGCTGTATTTTTTTTTTAACCTTAAAATCATTCTGATTAAAACACAGATCCTATTTCGTTTCTTTTTTTATAGTTTAAAAATTTTGTTTTACTTTTTTTTTTACTACACTAGGATCTAAAAGAGTTATTATATAACCCGCGTTCGGGATGATGTGAGGAATTAGCCAATGAAATGGTCTGTCACGCCGAGTTTTTGTTGTGAGTTACACGGTACTGTGGGTAATCCATTAGAAACGTCAACGCTGACTGATTAATCAAATCATGACGTCATATAGGGTCAAAAGCTTCTCGTAGTCGTATATGACCTTTGACGCGACCTCCCACTACCACTGGTCAGATATTCATGTAGTAGAGGCCATCGAAAGAATAAAAAAAACGAAACGAAATATACAGATCTGTTTTTTAATCAGATTGTTTTTTTTAGACGAAAACGGGTCTACAAACACATACCAATTTAAAACGTTCAAAAATACGACATGCAGAAAGTCCAACAACGTTATCTTCGAGAGTTATATCCCTTTGAGCTGTATCCGGTTCACAGTGAAATAATTATGCAGAATTTAGAATTTATTGATTTTACATGAAATCTTCGGTTCGTTTCCGAGCCGCGCCCTGACAGCGGTGGAGAAAGAAAGAAGGACATTAAATGTATCGGGCATTATACGGGTATAAATCCAGTTTGTCGGATTATTTGAGTTTTGACGCCAGCGACCGTTTCACTCTTCTCGATGCCGAGAATCAGAAGTCGGATCAACAAAAGGAGTGGCTACTAGCCCAAAACGGCATCGGTGAACTCGGGTATGTGCCTTATAATTACATCGAAAAGTTGGACTGCACTCCGACAGAAGTTGTTAAATTCATTGACGGTTCCATAGAAGCAATACACCTACAGGCGGGGAGTGAAGGAGGGGGCGTTGTCTCGCAGATTGACCGATATAACTTACAAAAACTGCTACAACATCGAGCTTCATACCTCGAATCAGTGAAGCATGACAAATCCATTGTTGAAAAGAGAGTCAATAAAAGGCCAGCTCCAGAACCACCTGGTAACGAAGATGGCAGACAAGTGGTGTCTCGAAGAACAAGTTCAGGCAAAAAGGCTCCACCCCCTCCTCCAACCAGGGACAGTTCACTAGGATTAAATGATAGTAGTGTTGGCACCCAAAGCAGTCCCAGCACAGCCAGTTCCTGTGGGAGTCCGGGAGAAACAATAACAGCTGTAAATCAAACTGCAAATGGCGTGGTCACTATTCAAAAAGACACGCCAACGACACCGACTGGTACGAAATTTAGGCCTAACTCATTTGAAATTGAAACATCCCCTGTTTTAACACTGCCTCCTCCTTCCGGATCACCAAACATCTCAGATCATCCAAGCCCTTTGATTCCTCCAGACATAGGCCCAGAACTCATAGAGGAGATCCGAATCAATACCGGTCTCAGCTTTGACAAATCTAAAATTGCCCTTGAAACCGTGCTCGGATATATTGGTTTCAAGATCCCAGAGCTTTCTTCTAGTATGGATGAAATATTTAAAACTACCCACAATCTCAAACAATCATCTGAAATCGGCACAAGTCGAGACGCGAAACGTCTGGAAGTTATTTTCTCGGAATTAGCTGCCTGTAAAGATGATTCACAGCAGAGAAGTTGGGCACTCCACGAAGATGAAGCAATCATTAAGGAATATATTGAGGAACTGAATTCTATTTTAGAAAACGCCAAGAAGTCTATTTGTCGGAAGGTGGTCGCGGAAGAGAATTACGAATGTATTCATAATTTGGTGCAGTATTATCAAATGGAGACTCGTCTGAGTATCAGGCTCTTGCTGTTGAAATCATTTGGTGCTCTCTGTGGATTGGATAAGATGGCTATTACAATGCTGCTGTGTTCTGTGCTTCCTTTGGAGCTAGCCCACGACATCACAAACAAATCTGACGAAGTCCAAAGACTCTCCTACGCTTCTTTAGTACTCAGTATGATCTTTTCCACTGGGGAACCTATTCCCACAAATCTTCACGAGCATCTGAATGGAGATTTCATAAGCTTTATTCTAAGTCTGATTGAGAATCCGCCTACAGATGAACATGAGGATCAAGCGACTGATCTACTTGTGTCCCTCATATTAGCCTACAACTTACACATGGAGACTGCTGGCAAAAATCTGGTAATGGATGTGTTTGCTGAAAAGGGAACCGTTAAAATATTTACAGAGAAAGTAATGCTACTGTTTAACCGTGGTGACGACCCAGTTAACATCTTTGACCATAAGCCAGATGCACCAAATTCTGTGATCAAATTCTTCCAAGATCTGTACAGTGCCAAAAAGACTGCCAATCTGTTGTACACAAATGATGCCATGGTTTTGATTGATATTTTGATTAGACAGATTTCGGATCTACCTGCAGGCGATGCCACAAGATCAGCATTTCTGATTTTGACAAATTATCTGATCAGAAATTCCGATTACGAAGATCACCGACATCGCAGTGTCGAACTAGGTGCTCTTTTCCGGTCTATCGCGACTGAAGAATCTGATTGTGTTAGTGATAAGAAAATCGTTGTTGAACTTTTAAAAACCTATGAGCACTTGTTTTAATTTTATTAACATCAAATCCACCCTCAGGACTAGCTAGCTCTTTTTAATGCATTATTCTATCGTTCACTGATTCACCGAAATATGATGTATTTGTTGGGTTTTTTTTGTTAATTTTTGAAATATATATTTTGTTGCAAAATATATTTAAAGCTGCTGATTTTCATTTGTATTTTTTTCGGACAAAATTTAATTTTTCATGGCTTAAAGATGCATTATGTATGAGCTAAATCTGCCTATTGCAGATTTTTCTTAAGGCCTGAAATGTTATATACTGTAGATTATTAATTAGACATTTATCAACATGGCAAGACCGCAATCAACTTTCTAGGCCCTTGATTGTATGAAAAAGCGCTTGTTTTGTTTTTTTTTTAGCTTGTTCTTGGTCCATCTCTTGCAAAATGTGGCTGTAACTTGCATGGCAACTGCTTGTTAACTATTAAAGCAAGAACTATCAGCTCTTTATCTAAATATTACATAATGCATCTTTAATCCATGTTAAGATATACTCAGACTGATTATTTCACATTAAATTAAGAAAACAAAACCACAATATCAACAGTAGATAACCAACACTTATTTATAGGTGGCACTGGTTTGTTTAAATCATCAGCAGATGGTGCTGATTTTTCAATTTATTATATAAATATGGAAAGGAGTAGGGTCGCCTGTCCAACCTCGTGGGTTTTCCCCGGGTCCTCCGGTTTCCTCCCACTGCTAAAGACCCCTACGCGCAAGCGAATTATTGAAATAAAATTGTACCATATGTTAGTCCCGAAATGACCTAGTTTGTGTCGAGTGGACGTTAAACCCCATTTCTCTCTCTCTCTCTATAAATATGGAAAGCAATTGGACCATTTTTGGACTGATACACCTTTAAGACTTTCATATATGGTAATTTGCAACAATCTGATTAAAACACAGATCCTATTTAGTTTCGTTTTTTATAGTTCAAAATTTCGTTTTACTTGTCTTTACTACACTAGGATCTAGAAGTGTTGTTATATAACCTGCGTTCTGGTTGATGTGAGGGATTAGCCATTGAAACTGTCTGTTACCGCAAGTTCTTGGCATGCGCTGCATGGAACTGTGGGTATCCTACTAGAAAGATCAATGCTGATTAATTAATCAAATGTCTGAAGTGATAGATTCAAAAGGCGCTTTCATGACACTTGACTCGACCTTCTACTACAACCTGCGTTCTGGTTGATGTGAGGGATTAGCCATTGAAACGGTCTGTTACGAGTTCTTGACATGCAGTGCATGGAACTGTGGGTATCCCACTAGAAAGATCAATGCTGATTAGTTAATCAAATGTCTGAAGTGATAAACTCAAAAGGCGCTTTCATGACACTTGACTCGACCTTCCATTACAAACATTCAGATCGTCATGTAGTGGAAGCCATTTAAAGTATAAAAAACGAAACGAAATATAGATCTGGGGCCCGTTTCACGAAATTTTAACTAAAGATAAAATCCAAATTTTAGTAGATACTTGAATTTTGATTGGCTAAGCACTAAAATCAATCTAATATTATCCAATCAAATTACTAAAATTTGGATTTTATCTTAGTTAAAATTTCGTGAAACAGGCCCCTGTATTTTAATCTGATTGAGTTTGCAAGGATTTGAAAATTCCTCAAATTATGATGAACAGCAGCTGTGTATGTTGATTGCAGACATTATTTACTTTGTTTTTTTCTGAATGAAAAGTTTATAATTACATATATGATCCCAAATTTAATATTTTAAAGCTTTAAGGATAATATATACTTTTTTTACTTGTTTTTTTTGTTTTCAGTCTTCTGTGAATGGAAGGGTATATACATGTATTTATATTAAATAAACTGGGTGGGGATGGTCAAGTGGTCTCACACATGGTAAAAGATAAAATACAAGAGCCTTTGCAGATTTTACACTGTTTTTACAAGTTTTTTGTTTTGTTTCCAATCTTGTGTGAATGGAAGGTGTATTTTACATGTATTTATATTCAGTTAACTGGGTGAGGATGGTCACGTGGTCTAACACATGGTAAAAGATAAAAGCCAAGAGCCATTGCAGATTTTGTCATAGGTCACAAGACATAAATAGGGTTAAGGCCTGTGATTGTTGATGAGATTTATGGTTAAGGTTTAGGGTTAGCCCTAGCCCTCACCCTAATTCTTATCCTAAACCTAATCCTATTTACATCTCGTGACCTATAAATAAATCTGCAGTGGCTTTTGGCTTTTAACTCTAACGTCTAACACATGTTTTAGATCATAAAGTCTGTCATTGACTCAAGTGGCATGGTTTCGATTCCTAGATATTGTACTAACAAGGAATCGGGTCGGCTGCCCAACTGCATTGGTTTTCTTCGGGTCCTCCTGTTCACTGCTATATTTTAGTCCGAAATTACCTTATTTTGTGGTGTGGAATGAAGGCTAAACTCTCTCTCTCTCTCGATCAAATAAAAACTTATTTTTTTTAGCAAACATGAAGTGGGTTCTTGTATTAAACATAGATACATTCTGGATTCAAATATATAATTAAACATACATTATGGGAGATAAGATAAAGAGCTGCCAGTTCTCACTATAATAGTTGAAAACTAGATAATGTAAAGGTAATTTGACTGAACCGAGAATTAAGCGATTGAAATTTCGGTCTAGCCTCGATCATCATTACTAAAGTCTGTGCGATAAACAGCATAGTCTCGATTATCCATTTAATCATTAAATTGTGAAGGAAAGTCGAGCAGCAAATGGGATCATAATCCAGTAAATATCGCAACCATCCGATGGCATCGAGAGTTGATTATGGTCTGGATAAGTTAGTTAAGGTCTAATTAATAATTTAGATAAAATTTCAGACTTAAAGAAAGACCTGCAATTGGCAGATTTAGCTCTTGAATAATGTATGTTAAAATAGTACATATATAGCATAATGTATGTTTAATATTATATATTAATAGTACATATATAGCATAATGTATGTTTAATATTATATATTAATAGTACATATATAGCATAATGAAAGGGTGTTGGGATAAAGTATAATTATTTATATTGTTATTTATTTGTTACTAATAATAGTTTCTACATCTGTTGTTTGTATGGCTGTGTTAAAAGGAAATACAATTCTTAACATTCCTGCTGCCTTTCTTGTCAATTCCTGTTTCTTGACAATTTTATCCTCCACTTGTGTTCATCCCAGACATATTGTTTGCAAACAAAAATAAATCCTGGTCAATTCTTAGATCCAACCCTTACGACTGGAAACACTAATGGTAGGGATATTGATTATTTTAGTATGGTTGTTTATTGCCATCAGGAGGTGAATGGCTGAATGGTTAGCGTGTGCGACTGTGCGCTGTATCATCAGGTCTGTCCTTGAGTCAACTGGCGTGGTTTTGATTCTCCGATTGTACGTGACAAGGAGTTGGGTCATCTATCCAACCTTGTGGTTTTTCTCCGGGTCCTCCAGTTTCCTCTCACTGCTAAAGACCTCTAGAAGCAAGCAAATTATTGAAATAAAATTGAACCATGTGTTAGTCCCGAAATGACCTAGTTTGTGTCGAGTGGAAGTTAAACCCCATTTCTTTCTTTATTGCCATCAACCTATCTGTCTGTCCATCATCCACATTTCCATTCTGCACACAAAGAAATGAAATGAAATGGGGTTTAACGTCCCACAATTCTGCTCTGACTGGGCTAATGAAGACGGGCCTACACCGTACACAAGCCTGGAAATAAGGCACCTGTCACAGACAATGTCAGGCACAGATTCAGGCTTTGTCAGGCACAAAACCTTTGGTGCCTATCATTTTGTCCGGCACTGATTTGTCTTTTTTATTGATATTATTTATACATATCCGGCACTAGGTTGAAAATGTCAGGTACCATTTCATTATTGCCTGACATTTTGTCAGGTACGTTTAAAACAATTATTTCCAGGCCTGACCATACAGTGTGCTATAAAGGAAATTTTGCCCGGGCAGCGGCACTATGGCCTACTCTTATATCGAATTCCAACTGCCAATTTTTGAATCAATCTGGGATGAAGGGGGGGGGGGGGGATGGCACTCGGTGGCGTCGGACATCCAGTCATTTTTTTTCGGGCATTTCAATGAAAGCTGCGAAGCAAAACAAGAGGAAACAGGAAACTCTTTCAGTTTTTCATGCACATTTAACACCTCAACGACCTTGACAACAATTGAGCTGGCCTTAACAAATAGATTTAGCCAACACGACACTTGTCTGTGTACGTCACAACTACGGACGATCGTACGTTATATCTGATGTACTTTGATATGTCACTCAACCACACCCCGTCAATAATAATAGTGTATTGTATATTACAGACTTATTATATTCTAATCTCAAAGAAAACTTATCATTTACAAACGTAAGCTTTAAAGGGTCGCCTCCTCTTTGATAGAATTACATACGATGTAATTCTACTAGAACGAATGTAGAAAGTCTCGGATTTGCGCTCACTATAGACGTTATTATAAATTACAGAGGCCACGGTCCATAACGAAAATGAATGAAATAGGGTTTAACGGCCTACTGTTCTGCCCCTACTGGGATAATGAATACGGGCATACGCCATGCAGTGTGCTATGAGGGAAATTTTGCTCGGACAGCGGTGCTAAGACCTACTCTTATTTCGAATTCCAACTGTCAAAGGTTCTTTTTCGTGCATTCCATTGTGTACACGGGACCTCGGTTTTTCTTCCCATTCGAACGACTATATGTTGTCCCTTGCCAGGCCCCCCGTCCTACACCACGGACAAGGGTGAACCATGCCGGAAAACCTCGAAGAACTTTCTCGTCCAATGCAGGAATCGAACACGGGACCTCCAGGGTAGCAAGCCAACGTCCTACACACCGAGCCACCATGACTCCCCTGCCCTTTAACATTTTATCCGTCTTCATTAGCCCGGTTGAATTTCTTGTTTACGTTTTATTTGTTCTGTACCAAACTAAAGGTATAATGCAACAGTTTATAGTAATTTAATTGATAGCTATATATCTTACAATCTATTTCACAAATTGTTGTATTTACGTCAGCTATACAGGGTTTATTACGTTCAGCTCAATTAAATCTTTGAGCTATAGAAAAACCTTGTTCATTGACAAGCGCTTTGAAGTAAGTTTGTAAAAGACTATCTATAACTTATGACGTAAATTACGAAAAATGAGAGAGAGAGAGAGAGAGAGAGAGAGAGAGTGAGGGATGTACTAATGCAAGTCAATATATACTGGTCACAATTCTATGGAATACAATTACAGCTTAGTACCGACCAACGTTTTGACTAGGCTTCTCTAGTCATTATCAAGCAATGATAAAATATAAAAATGATTGTCACTTGTGACGTAAACTATGAAAAGCGAGAGAGAGAGGGAGAGAGAGAGGGAGGGAGAGGGGGTGGGGTGGGGATGTCAATATCTACTGGTCACTATTCTATGGAATACAATTACTACTTATTTCTGACCGACGTTTCTACTAGGCTTCTCAAGTCGTCATCAAGTGATGACCTTTGACCTGTACATTGGGCTAATGAAGACGGGCATATGTGTTTACAGTGTGCTACGAGGAAAAATTTGACCCGACAACGGCGCTACAGCTTACTCTTATCTCGAATTCCAACTGCCAGTGGTTCTTTTACGTGCACACTTATGTGTACACGGGACCTCCGGTTTACGTCACATCCCGAACGACTTGACACTGTTCCTTGCCAAGCCCTCGGTGCTGCACCAATAACATGTGGAAACAACTCAGGAAAATACCCGAGACCACGTGGTTAGCTAGCCAGCGTCTTACTCATAGAGTCTATGGCCATAAAATAGGATTTGGTTGGCCGAATGGTTGACGCGTGCGCGTGAAATCACAAGGTCTGTCTCTAAGTCAATTGGCGTCGCCTGTACAGCCTTGTGAGTTTTCTCCGGGTCGTCTCGTTTCCTCCCACTGCTAAACCCCTGTGCGCAAGCGAATTATTGAAATAAAATTGAGCCATAATGTGTTAGTCTCGAAATGACCTAGTTTGTGTCGCTGTCTTCATTAGCCCAGCCGGAGCAGAACAGTGGGGCCTAAACCCCATTTCATTTCATTTCATTTAGTTTGTGTGTGGTCGAGGGGACCTCAAACCTCTCTCTCTCTCTCTCTCTCTCTCTCTCTCTCTCTCACCATAAACCTAGATTTTGTCACTTGCGACACGTTTACAGTGAAAGCTTATTTTCATTTAATAATAAGTATAAAATACATGTACATTAATGTATTCCATTCTGCATAAAAGCAGTCTTAAAAAAACCAGGTTATATGTTTGCTAGTAAACAGTTCCAATTCTGTCACTTGTAGCATGCTTATATGCGAAATTATTTTTTTTTAATAATAAGCAAAAATAGTCTATTGTCTTAAAACAAACTATAATAGCTTATATGATGTTTGCTAACTAGAGTCTCAATTCTGCTTACTGTATAAATATTTTAATAATAAGCATAATATATACAGAAGATTTCAGCCTTTGAAATCGTAACTATACAGTCTTGATTTTCCATTTTTAAATTAAATTATTAAATGGCGATGTGTTTTATCCGTTAAATATCACCCAGAGAGAAATGTCTTATTAGTTTATATAACATTTGAAGCGAAAAAAAAAAGATTTGCCATAGGTAAATTTAGCTCTTACATAATGCATCTTTAATATATTATTTCATTCGGCATAAAAAAAACCCAAACAGATTATAGTCTTAAATGAAACAGTAACCATTATTATCAGCTTATAGGTTCGCCAACTTCAGTTCCAATTCGTGTGTTGGGATACAGGTAAGACCGACTTTAGCTAATTTAAAATCCAAGCCAACCAGTCAATTTATTCCACACGCCTTTGGCGGCCCGTCCAATGCCACGCCCAACCTTTTCTATACCCCGAGCAATATCAACAATGGCGCCATCGTTCGACTCCACATCATCTCGAAATTTTTGTCTCGTATCGATATTCTTTATTCTTTCGAGTTCTTCTTCTAATTCCTCCTCTTTTTGACGTTGTCTTCTCTTAATTCTCTCTAATTCTTTTTTCTTTTTATTATTTTCTAGTTTCATGCCCTCAAGTTCTCGCATCTTTCTCTTCGCCTCTTTCTCAATTTTCCGCGCTTTTTGTTCTAGTTCCCGCTCTTTCTTGTTTTTTTCTTCCTCGAGAAGTCGAAGTTTTTCCTGATATGCCCTTTCAGCTCCTTCAAACATCTCACCAGTGTAGTATCCTCCGCCATTTTGTCTCACGGTCTGCGCCATTAAATCTAGAATACCTTTAACATCCTTTGCTAATGCCCTTGGTTTTGCTCGGTTGTTAATGGTAGCTATTCTCCTTTTGCACTGACCAACCAGTGATTGCAGTTCTGGTGGGCAGTGTTGGATATGTTCATGAATGGTCGAACCATCGTAATCAAGCGAGTCCTTACCGGTGAATACAATGATCACGTAATTGACTACGTCTTCTCCAAACAAATCTTTGAGGTGTTGGATCGTCTCCATCTCTTCCTGGGTAAAGCGACCGATCTTCAGAACGAAGACAAAGATGTGAGGACCGGGTGACGATAGACCTATACACCTTATAAGTTCTTTTGATGTTTCAAGGTTGGATTTCCTGGTGTCGAATATTCCTGGTGTGTCGATGACTACCAACTTTTTTCCATTGTCAAGACGCCTGTTTCCAAATTTGCAGTGTACGGTGACAGAAGCGCCATAACTGTTGGATTGGAACAGCTCAGACTGCAGCAGACTGTTTCCTAGGGCGCTTTTGCCAGCCCCTGTTTTTCCTAGCATCACTATTCTTAACTCTAAAATAAACAAGAAAATACATGTAAGTGAATTACTGACACAAAGGTGGATCAGTGGGTAAGACGCTGGTCTCGGGTTCATTCCCAGTGTTTGCATAGGAAGAAGGGCTTGGCAAGGACAGTGTCTAGTCGTTGGGATGTGACAAAAAACACATTGGCGTGCACGTAAAAGAACCCTTGGCAGTTGGAATTGGATGTAAGAGCAGACAGTAGCGCCTCTGTCCGAGTTCCCTCATAGCTCACTGTTTGGTGTTACAGTGGCTAAGTGGGTAAGACGCTGGCTCGCTAGCCCGGAGGTTGGGTGTTCGGTCCCTGCATTGACCGAGAAAGTTCATCCAGATTTTTCGGCGTGTTTCCCCTTTGTCAATTTCAAGCCAACTGCAGCTTCTAGAGTGTTAATGATATTTCAAAAATTGATCAAGGGCCATAACTCCGACAGTAACTATCAAAAATTGTTGAATATCGATAGAATTTCTCGTCTCAGTAACATCAACACTATATATAAATTTCAGTTGTAGCTCCTAGATCGTCTGAAAGCAATTGTCAGTGACGGACCGATGGATGGCCGAGAAGACGACAATATACGACTGCATTTCAATGTAGGCATAGAAAAATCGAATAACTATATAGCCTACCTTTTGGACTTCTAAAAGGCATATTCTATTCCTTTTTTAATCTACAAAAATAAACACAAAACACAATGTAGAAATGTTTTTATATGCAACGTAATGTAATGTAATAGCCGTTTACCGGCGGCAGCTAGATCTGTTTGTTAAGGCCAACTCAATTTTCTTCAAGGTCGCTGAGATATAATTAAGGCTAGGACACGTGATTGTTGGCGAGATTGTAGGCTAGGGTAGGCCTAAGCGTTAGGGCTAGGTCCATGGTTAGGGTTAGGGTTGGGATTAGCGCTAGTCTGTTTACATTTCGTGACCTTTGACCAAACTTGAAGTTGGCCTTATTAAATAGCCTAGACCTAACCGTTTACCGCAATGCCGTAGATATATAAGTGGTTTACCGGCACTGCTAGAGCCCTGAACCGGAAGTAGTATAACAACGTTCTAAGATGCAACTTTATTATTTGTGTCGAGTGTACATTACCCCCCCCCCACTCTCTCTCAATATCAATTGGCCCATATATTTCCCAGTATTTACTTTCTGTCTTGATAATCGAGGTCGGGTCACATTGTTCAGTATGGAGAAATGAAACATTTAAAGATGGCTTATGTCAGAAATAAATCCGCCTGTAGTAGTTATATAAATTAATATTTAGAAATTTATTCACATGACATTCCTATAATCAACTCTCTAGAGCATCGGATGGCAAAAGTTTAAACGCATTAAAACACCCGCGAGATTAAACAAATTAACGATATAATGGATTTTCGAGACATTGGGGGAGCCACGGTAGCTAAGACGCTGGCTCGCTAGCCTGGAGGTTGGATGTTCGATCCCTGCATTGGCCGAGAAAGTTCATCCCGATTTTCCGACGTGGTTTCCCCTTGTCAGTGGTGCAGAACGGAGGGCCTGACAAGGACATCTGTCTAGTCCTTCGGATGAGACGAAAAACCGAGGTCCCGTGTATACATTGGAATGCACGTAAAAGATCCCTTGGCAGTTGGAATTCGATACAAGAGTAGACGATAGTGCCGCTGTCCGGGCAAAATTTCCCTCATAGCACACTGTATGGCGTATGCCCGTCTTCATTAGCCCAGTATAGGAGCAGAACAGTAGGACGTTAAACCCCATTTCATTTCATTTCATTTCGAGACATTGGATTGATTGTCAAGTACCGACATCTTCAAACAGGAATAACTCCGCTCAGAATAAAATGATTTAAATGATATTTTCAATACATGAATTTTGAATTAACTTTTTTGGAATTATTATAACAAGAACGGCCTGGGCCCTGTTTCTCGAAATCTTAACTAAAGATAAAATCCAAATTTTAGTAAATACTTTAATTTTGATTGGCTTAGCACTAAAATCAACCTAATATTATCCAATCAAATTACTAAAATTTGGATTTTATCTTAGTTTAAATTTCGTGAAACAAGCCCCAGTTCTTTATCTAAATCTTACATAATGCATCTTTAAAATAAAACAGTTATATATCTAGTATAATAATAATATGTTTATTTCAGTAATAAGGCCAGCGTGGTTTCCCCTTGTCAGTGATGCAGGACAGCTGTCTAGTCCTTCGGATGAGACGAAAAACCGAGGTCCCGTGTATATATTGGAATGCACGTAAAAGATCCCCTGGCAGTTGAAATTCGATATAAGAGTAGGCGATAGTGCCGCTGCCCGGGCCAAATTTCCCTCATAGCACACTGTATGGCGTATGCCCGTCTTCATTACCCCAGTATAGGTGCAGAACAGTAGGACGTTAAACCCCATTCCATTTCATTTCATTTCAGTAATAAGGTCATAGACCTAAAAAACAATTTAACAAACACTTTAAAGAGGTGAGCGACAGCAAGTGTAGATAAATTTTACAATTTATGATAGCAGTATAACAATTCATTTTTTTACATTTCCAATTTTCGATGTGATAATGCGACATCAATATACTGGGATACAGATTTTAATAATCCGATGTCAGTTGACGGTCAGATTTTGATTAGTGCCGCTGAACACAGAGAGTGTTTATATAAAGTATCTGGAATGTACAGATATCGTATATTGCGCAAGTTTGCAGATATGAACAGAAAGTGATAAAGGGTTTCAATATCCGATTTACACAGAAGACGAGCCGGGTCAATATTAGGATTCCTTCTACATTTAACCTGAGTCGAGACGACAATATATTCCCGCATATTGTACGCTCAACAGCAGCCATATCTAGTATATATGTCTATAATGAAAGTAGGACGTGCTTGATCAATGTTTAGAATGATCTAAAGCTTGTATGTTAGAAATGAAATGAAATTAAATGGGGTTTAACGTGCTCTTCTGGGGTTTAACGTGCTCTGACTGATCTATTGAAGACACGCCATACAGTGTGCTATGAGGGAAATTTTGCCGGGACAGCGGGCCGCTACGGCCTACTCTTATATCGAATTTCAACTACCAAGGATCTTTTTCGTGCACATCAATATGCCCTCCGTCCTGCACCACTGACAAGGAGAAACCTTATATCGAATTTCAACTACCAAGGGATCTTTTTCGTGCACACCAATATGCCCTCCGTCCTGTACCACTGACAAGGGGAAACCACGCCGGATAACCCCGATCGAACCCGCGATCTCCAGGCTAGCGAATCAGCTTCTTACTCACTTAGCCACCGTGGCTCCTGTGCATATTAGATAATGAGGTCTTTCTGCACACAGAGAACTAACTACTTCGAGAAAAGATCTCTGTCCTGAATGGCCACCATATCTAAAAATTAATATACTATTTTGTAATGCGGGTTCTACCCCGTTTCATATCTGTCATACACGCAGCGACTAAATAAACCATTTTATTAAATGGAAGCGAATCGAAAGAAATACTTCTCACAATTCGTGTAGTGTATTCGACTAAAATCGTCGCTTTAGGAATTAAATGTCGGCCAAGCTTAGCGTTCTCAAGCGGAGCTGGCGGGGTTTCGATTCCCCGGTTGTACGTGACAAGGAGTATGGTCGCCTGTCCAACCTCGTGGGTTTTCTCCGGGCCCTCCGGTTTCCGCCCACTGCTGAAGACCCCTACGCGCAAGCGAATTATTAAAATAAAAATTAAACGGTATGTTAGTCCCGAAATAACCTAGTTTGTGTCGAGTGGACGTTAAACCCCATTTCTCTCTCTCTCAAGCGGAGCTAGTTGTACACAGACAGCGTTAGTTTAGTATAATAAGGTCTGTCATTGAGTCAAGTGTTGTGGTTTAGATTATCTGCTTGTACGTGACAAGGAGCACAACCTCGTGGGTTTCTTCCGGGTCATCAGGTTTCCTCCCATTACTAATAAAATTGAACCATATGTTAGTCCCGAAATGACCTTGCTAGTTGTACACAGACAGCGTTAGTTTAGTATAATAAGGTCTGTCATTGAGTCACGTGTTGTGGTTTAGATTATCTGCTTGTAGGTGACAAGGAGCACAACCTCGTGGGTTTCTTCCAAGTCATCCGTTTTCCTCCCATTACTAATAAAATTGAACCATATGTTAGTCCCGAAATGACCTTGCTTGTTTCGAGTGGTCGATAAATTCCATTTCCCTCTCTCCCTGAGTTAATATACATTTAGGGGGTGCTCGATTGTCAGTCCGGAACATCCCGAATTGACAGAACTGCAATTAAGTGATACAGAATTCAGTCCTGTCACAGTTCTGCCAGTCCCGAGAGCTGAGGTGGTGTGAGTAGAATCGTGACGTATTTTAAGTAAGAAATATGTTTCAGCTGCCATGATTAGTTGAGATATTTTTTTATGTAGTCGACACATGCGTTGTACTTCGAAATTCTACTTTTCACTCGATTTACACCATATTCGGAATTGAGAGAATTTAATTCCGGAACGTTCCATCGAGTATGCCCATAGTGAACTTATAATTACCTCGAACAATTATTTCAGTATTCGTCGTTGATCTGTATCTGTCTGGGTATAGTGTATTATCCACAGTGCACCGCGCGTGATTTCTACACGTTGACTAATTTATAGAGATAGTGGCTATGTCTGCATGGATTTCGTAATTCTCGGAGAATCGGGCTTTTCCTTTAAAAATCAATGTACGTCAGGCGGATCCAGATTCGAACGGATGGGGAAGGGAAATGAAATGAAATGGGGGTTAACGTCCTACTGCGGATCCAGAACGTATGGGGGAGAGAAATGAAATGAAATGGGGTTTAACGTCCTACTGTTCTGCTCCGACTGGACTAATGAAGACAGGCATACGAGGGAAATTTTGTCCGGGCAGCGGCACTATGGCCCTCTCTTACATCGAATTTGAACTGTCAAGGAATCTTTTACGTGCACGTCAATGTGTACAGGGTGCCTCGGTTTTTCGTCCCAACCGAACGACTAGACAGCCGTTTTTGTCGGCCCTCCATCCTGCACTACTGACAGGCGGAAACCACATCGGAAAATCCCGATGAATTTTCTCGGCCAATGCAGATGGGGACGGGATTAAGGGAAAGGGGTGCTAACTGGGCTACAACTTGGGGCCCCAATGATAGTTTTGAAATTTATTTTATATAAAGAGGGGGTGGGGTGGAGGGGGCTGAATGGTTAACTCGTTCGTTTTGCAGCATAAGGTCTGCCATTGAGACAAGTGGAGTGGTTTTGATTCTCCGCTTGCACGTGACAAGGAAAAGGGTCCCCCGTCTAACCTCGTGGGTTTTCTCTGGGTCCTCCTGTTTCATCCAACTGCTAAAGACCCCTACGAGCAAGCAAATTAATGAAATAAAATTGAACCATATGTTAGTCCCGAAATGACCTAGTTTGTGTGTGTGTGTGTGTGTGTCTCTCTCTCTCTCTCTCTCTCTCTCTCTCTCTCTCTCCCTGTTTTATATTTTTATATTTTATAAAACAGTTTATTTATAGCGATGATTTCTGTCTAGATGTTCCATACTTCACTCAGGGATGGATTACTGGTCTAACCCCACACCACACACCCATAAACTAAGCTCTGTTATCCCAATCCCATTCAGATATCCCGACCCCCCCCCCCCCCCCGCATTGTTTTTTTTTTTTTTTAAAATATAGGTAATGGAAGATTTCAAAGTAATGAGTTGTGGAAAATGTAATTGGTCACATTCCGAAAATGCTTGTAATGGTCAATTACTTTTTAAATTGATATTAAATGTACATTATGTAAGATTTATATAAAGAACTAGCCATTCATGCTATAATAGTTCGAAAGTAGATGATGTAAAATGAATAAGAGGAAAATTTCATTTGAATTACTCTATTGCAAGCGAAGATATTAACCTTTGAAGGTTTGACAGACGTGTGCAATAATATTTGATTAAATCAAAGTATCGCTGAACCATTCTAATCTATTTAATATCGGAGAAGACTGATGCCATCGAGGGTTGATTTTGGCCTGGATCAATAATTTAGATAACATTTCAGGCCTAAAGAAAGACCTGCAATAGGCAGATTTAGCTCTTGCATAATGTATGTTTAATTTATCACTAATTGATCAATATCCAAAATAATGACGAGACACCAAGTGTTAGCATCAAGAAAGTAAATACGGTTTATTCCCACGACTTCGTGGGAATCCAGCTCCTAGGGATTAAAATGGATTAAAAACGTAACAATGGTGTTATAGATTTACATTTTCATAATCCCCAATGTAACTAATTAACCAACATTTTAGCATCATTTTTGGCATAAGAAATAAAAACATACCTACACTATAACAAAAATTAATTTAATTTCGCCAAATAAGACACCCTGTCTAAATAATCGACTAAAGTCAATTCCTCTTCCTCGTGTTTTCCATTTAATTCCTGGAGCTGGCTTTGGATTTGAGCATATTTATATCTCTTCCTTGGTGGTTCATGTCCCCCGCATACTGAACGATTCTAATCTCATTAATATTTTGTTCTTGTTGTAAAAATGTGATCATTTCAAAAACATTCGGGTGGGCTTTTCCAACTAGCTTCTTGATTCTTGCATGCCATCCTTCCAGAGTGTTGTTGGTTCTGTGCTCCTCTGTGTCATAGTAATCCCATTGATGAGTTGCAAATTAATCCTCGAACCATTGATTTGTTATGTAGTCGGCCGATTCTGTTACTTTTGGATTGGCTGGCATTTCTGCTATAATGTGAAGGTAGGCATCTTCAACCTGCAAGTAAAATATGCTTGGTAAATAAATTTGATAACAAATACGAATGTGGTGACCACAGTGGTCAAAACGTTCCACGTCTACTCCAATAAGAGAAGTCGAGGGCCACTACAGCAAGACATAATATAATACACCTACCCTTTCTACTGGTACCAACGGTAGAGCTGCAAACCCCCGTACCACCTTCTGCATTTCTTCATCTTCTCTATATTACACTTGTAGACCCACATTCTGTGTTCGTCTCCAAATTAAGATTCATAATGAAATTCATAAAATCTTTAACACCGTTAATTGGGTCCTAATAGCAACATACCTCTCTTCAAACGAAAGCCGACAAGTCGATATCTGCGCCTTCGTGGGAAAGATTAACTTTGGTCACGCTCTGTAACTGCGCCTTCGCGGGAATACACCGTAAATACGTTATCTAACTCAAATCATGGAGTTGCCGCAACTATGGCGAGCTCCAAATTTTAGCATTAAAGAAATAAATTATGTATATATTGTATATCTGACACAAATCGTGGAGTTTTCGCAACCCCGGTTTGTCATAACGTTTTGTTTATTTAGTTGCTTAAACATCAAAATGCCCAATGGCGAGGCCTCAAATGTTACCATCAAAGAAGTAATGCATAGTCGCTGAGTTTTCGCAATTATGTCGAGCTCCAAAGAAATAAATGCGACACAAATCATGTAATGGAGTTTTCGCAGCTCTAGCTGCCATATTGTTTTGTTGTTTATTACAAATGTAACGTCCAATTCATTATACATGATATTATGGACAGGTTGGCAGGTTAGTTACATATAAAGAAATAATAAAAAAAAGGGTAAAAACATAAAAGAAAAAAATGTTGTATATGAAAAAAAAAAGTCATTTTAAAAATCACCGTATGAAATTCGCAGACGTAAGAAAAGACGGCAGGCCATTTTATCCCTTAAACATACATTATGTAAATCTGCACATTGCAGGTCTTTTTTTAGGCCTGAAATGTTATCTAAATTATTAATTAGACATTAAACATACATTATGCAAGAGCTAAATCTGTCTATTGCAGGTCTTTCTTTAGGCCTGAAATATTATCTAAATTATTAATTAGACATTAATTAAACTATCCAGACCATAATCAACTCTCGATGGCATCGCTAGCTTGCGAACCTTAGTGGATTATGAGCCGATTTACTGCATAACTCTCCTTCACGATTTAATGATTAAATGGATAATCGAGACTATGCTGATTAAATAAAAAATGGATAATCGAGACTATGGTTTTTATCGTAGGCCTAAAATTCAATAGTTACATTTTAGGTTCAGAGTGCATCAATTTGACGGAAATTTTCAGCAAATTGCCTTTACATTGTCTAGTTTTTAACTATTATAATGAGAACAGTCAGCTCTTTATCTAATCTCCCATATAATGTGTATTTTATAAAGCCAAGTTAAAACAGATTTGTTTTTTTTTATAATATAGTTGACGACCATAATGGCGGATTATCACAACAATAGAGATTATTCGATATACAAGATCATTATCATGTAATTATAGATTAACCTAAATAGCTTTTGTTTTTCACTAATATACCGGATAAAAACCAGTGATTACATTTCTAATAAACTTGACCTTAGAGACAGTTTATAGAAATTTTTATAGATTGCTATAGGAATTGAGAATTGCTAGCAGACTGGATTGATATAGCTGATATTTTCGGGGACTTATTCTGGTAAGAATTGTTTAGTTAGTTATTTATGAGGCCCATACGTTATATTATACTAATGTCCAAAAGAAAGTATACACTGTGTATTTTGTGCTGCATCAACCAAAGTCGTTTTTCCATGGTATACGGTATTTGGGTAGAATGTCAATTTGTTTCACATTTTTATTTTGCTTTATATATAGAAATGTTGAGTTTGGACGCAAGAGGTACAAGAGACAAACTCAGTATTGCTTTATCAAATGTTTTTAATCTAAACAAAACTTATTCATACTTTTAGTGTGTATACTTTCTTTTGGACATCAGTATAGTATATTGATAGTAGAATTGAGAATTGCTAGCAGACTGGGTTAATATAGCTAGGATTTATTCTGGTAAGAATTCTTTAGTTGGTTATTGATAGTATAATTCAATTATATTCCATTCAAAGATTTGGGTGGTGGGGTTGGAATGCCGAATGGTTAGCACGTGCGCGCTGTATCATACGGCCTGTCATTGAGTCAACTGGCGTGGTTTCGAATTCCCGGTTGTACGCGACAAGGAGTAGGATCGCCTGTCCAACCTCGTGGGTTTCCTCCAGTCCTCCGATTTCCTCCCAATGCTAAAGACCCCTAGGCGCAAGCGAATTATTGAAAAAAATTAAACCATATGTTAGTCCCGAAATGACCTAGTTTATGTCGAGTGGACGTTAAACCCATCTCTCTCTCTCTCTCTCTCTCTCTCAAAGATTTGGGAGCCACAGTGGCTCACTGAGTTAGACGCCGTCTAACTAACCCGGAGGTCCTGTGTTTCTACCTTGTATTGGCCGATACAGGACTTAGCGTCTCGTCGTTTAGATGGGACGAAAAACCAAGGTCCCGAGTATACCATATTGGCAACCCGTTAAAGATTCCTTGTGAGTTAGAAATCGAAATAAGAGCAAACCGTAGCGCCAGTGGTCATCATTAGCCCAGGTGATGTAGTAAAGTAAGACATTTAATTTTATTCCCACCTCCACTCACCCCATTTCTATTTCAAAGTCTCCTCATCACTATGAAAGTTTGTGCAAATAGAAATGAATATAGAATCTGTCTGTATACATTTTCGTGTAATTGACAGAAAAAATCATAATTTGTATCTCTATGGTCGACAACAGAACAACCTTTTTTCTAAATTCAGTTGACCAAAGGCGCACCAGCCCCTCACATCCACGCGTTTTGAGAAATACGTGGTCTCTATCGTCCGTTTGGCTTATATACATAGACACGGATCTTTATAAAGAGATTAATCTAACACCCCGGTTGACAGCAATTTTTATCATGAATTAATACGATGACATTGTGATTCAATTTCATTGATGTAAAGCATTAATTGTGAAATCACATGTGTCTATATCATTATCGCACGCTTTGAATGCTCATCCCACCCCACCATCTGACGATAAAGGATAAACTTTTCTGATAAAAATTGTTGTTTTAAAAATAATTTTGTAACTTATGGGGGGGGGGGGGGACAGATCCGCCCCTGTACACTACTGTGTTGTAATAAATGTTGCTCAGATCTTTCAAACCAATGTTACAACCAACATTGTGAGATGGACGGGGAATCTTCCATTGTTCTTTTCGTTGAATAAGCAGATTGTTTTCCCTCTAGTAGATTGGGTGGAGCTTTAACCGTGCAATAACTAGACATGTTCAATGTTATTGCACTCTTACACTAGTTGTAGTAGAACTCATATAGAGAAGTGGGGTGGGTTTTCTGTGCAATAACAACAAGCATGTTGAGCAGGTGTCATTGTTACAAGTCACTTATAGCACGCTTCATTCGTTAACAGGTTTAACATCTCAGCCTACGGCCTCGATGTTTAAACCTGTTGACTCACGAAAGCCGTCCTATAAATATAACTTATATTAATGTTCATACATTAATGCATATTCTTCTTTTTTTAATCTTAGATATTAGGAGTGTTTTCAATGGGATTGATAGCAATCAACTTAGTTTGTCTGTTGTATATAATATCTGTACTAGGATTTCTACATTTTCATGAAGGTAGTCTACTTTTATTATATTATTATACCATGTTTTTAAGCGTGACAAACAGGCCCACCGCGAAGGGAGTATGGCATGGACCTAGTTACATCGGCTCTGCTAGTAGAGAGCAGAGCCGATTTAACTAGCAGAGCCGATACAGTATACGTTACTAAAGTAACCATTAAAAAATAATTCAAAACAATAAAGCTTCGTTTTCCAGTGACAGTGTTTATTTATGAAAGCCTTTGTCCATTGAAGATTCCATACCGAGCGAGGGTGAAACGGAAGGGGGCGGGTGGGGATTGGGGGTCGGCCTAGTGGCTTATTCCCCTTAAGACGCAATTTGCAATCCGATTAGATAACTAGACCGGTTGGTGTAGAACTATAGGCCGCTAAACCCTACGTCATGTCTTTAAATATTTTTATTATTCTGTTATTTAAACATACATTATGCAAGAGCTAAATCTGCCTATCGCAGGTCTTTCTTTAGGCCTGAAATGTTACCTAAATTATTAATTAGACATTAATTAACTTATCCAGGCCATAATCAACTCTCGGTGGCATCGGATTTCTCCGATGTTAAATAGATTAGAACAGTTCAGCCATATTTTGATTTAAGCTAAAAATGGAGGAGCGAGACTTAGCTTCGAAGAACCAGTGCGGTAGTGCACACGGCTTGTCAAACCTTCAAAGGCTAATATCTTCACTAGCAATAGAGTAATTCAAATGAAATTTTCAACTTATTCATTTTACATTATCTATTTTCGAACTATATATATTATAGCAAGAGCCAAGAATGGCTAGCTCGGATCTTTATCTAAAATCTTACATAATGTATCTTTAATTACGGTAGTTTAATATGATTTTTTATGGGATCGTAGGTTTTCCATTTATGTACATTATTGACTTGTCCATTTCATTAAGTATCTTACAAATTATTTACATCTTTGGCTCGTGTGCATTTGCTTTATAAGTGGGAATATAAACAAAATGTATTTGTAAATTAATGTTCAATTTTTTAACAGTGGGTGCCGACTGTTCAGGGGGAACAACTCTATTAAATGCTTCAACAAGTAACCAAGAACTAACTTCACCAAATTACCCGTCAAATTATTATCCGTGAGTATATATATTTATTTTTAGGAAGGTTGGCATTCGTAACCAGAGTATTTAGGGTTAGTCCAACTATTTGTTGGGTTTAGTGGGCTGACCTAGGGTTAGTTCAGCTCTGAACGTAGGTCTCATTACACTCACCCTGTACAGGGCGAGTACTGTAATGAGACCTTACGTTAGTACGTTCAGAGCTGAACTAACCTATTGTTAGGCGTCAGACCCGTAGCCAGCGGGGAGCAAGGCGGGTCAATGCCCACCTGAAAAAATGTTTTGCCCCCCCCCCCCGAAAACAAATTTGCCGACCATAGCTCTAATTAATACCAACTGTAGACTGTCATGCCGTGTATGTCCCCCTTAAAAACTTCACTGCCCCTGCAAAGCCAGCAAGCTGGCATTACGGGCCTGTTAGGGGTAGGTCATCAATGTTTAAAAAGTATTTAATGTAATACAATATTATATTCACTTAAAATACAGATGTGACGTCATCCTTTGATCTTGGCGTACCATTATTTCCAATAATGTACGAGCAATTTAACTTGCCAATCGTACATTATCTATACTAGATGAAATATTGGACTCACGTGACGTATTTCATTGAAAAGCATGTGCGGGATAGTGTCTGTATTTAAAGTTGTTTAATGGTCTCGAGCTAAAGACATTGCGTCATATATTGAAACAACACTCGGCTCATGCCTCGTGAAGTATCAATATATCACTTAATGTCTTGCTCTCGACCATTAAACCATACAAATACCCCAGGCCCAACTGATTATCGAAAATCCTTCAACTGGATAATTAAATTAGGGTTGGGCATCGCGTTTTATGTAATGATTTTACCATGGAGGCCTATTCAAACAATTTTTTTTTAATTTCAGGAATTTATCTTGTAAATGGTTGATAAAATCGTCCAACTCAAGCCATGTTATCCGTGTGAATATTGTTGATATGAGCATAGAAAGTAGTTTCACTTGTCGCTATGACTACCTTCTGATTTATAACGGTAAGAAATAATGTGTTTCATATACTTATAGCAATGGACAGTGTATAGTCGTTCACATTGCAGCCGCGTGTCCAGGGGGAGTGTCAAGGGGGTCGCCCCCCCCTCCTCCTCCCGCTAGCGCAGAGAATATTTTTTCTCTCCTACATTCATGGAAATAACGCTGATTTGGCTCACTCCACTGTAATCCTATACATGTATAGTAGAAATATTGTTGTTCACAACGTATAGAAACAGTAGGCCATAGTGCCGCAGGGCATCACGGTGGCTAAGAGGGTAAGTCGCTGGCTTGCTAGCCTGGAGGTCAGGTGTTTGATCCCTGCATTGGATGAGAAAGTTCATCCAGATTTTCCGGCTTGGTTCTCCCTTGTCAGTGATGCAGGACGGAGGTGCTGACAAGAACAGTTTTCTAGTTGTTCGGATGGGACGGAAAAGCGAGGTCACGTGTACACATTGGCGTGCATGTAAAAAATCCGGGCAAAATTCCCCTCATAGCACACTGTATGGGGTATGCCCTTCTTCATTAGCCCAGTTCGGAGCAAAACAGTAGGAGGTATGGGCCTGGAAATGAGACTAGGCCATAGTGCCTCTGTCAGGGCAAAGAGAGAGAGAGAGAAATGGGGTTTAGCGTCCACTCGACACAAATTAGGTCATTTCGGGACTAACATACGGTTTAATTTTATTTCAATAATTCGCTTGCGCGTAGGGGTCTTTAGCAGTGGGAGGAAACCGGAGGACCCGGAGAAAACCCACGAGGTTGGACAGGCGACCCTACTCCTTGTCACGTACAACCGAGGATTCGAAACCACGCCAGTTGACTCAATGACAGGCTTTATGATACAGCGAGCGCGTGCTAACCATTCGGCCATCCACCCCCCCCCCCATCAGGGCAAATTTAGCACAGTCGGATTCAGAAAAGTAGGACGCTAAAGCGTACTTTATTTCACGTCTTTGTTGTTTGTTTATTTCACTGCTAAAAGATTTATATTTTATATACTGGCGTTTTCTTTTACAGGTAATTCCACAAACTCCGATGTTTTAGGCCGGTTTTGTGGGTCTAGTACCACGTCTGTATCAAGCAGAGATAACTCTATATTAATAACGTTTGTATCTGACTGGGGTGTACAGTATACCGGCTTCAAATTAAAATATTTTTCTACAGAGTTCGGTGAGATTTATTTTTAAATTTATTTTTCATTTCAAAATTAATTTTTCTTAATCAACGGTCAATGAATAAAATGGGGCTTAACGTCCAAGCGGACTAATGCCAGGCGATCTACTTTGTGTTTGTCAAGTCGTGATTGAACCTAACTTTTTCCGACCCATCCGACCTACAGACGTTTCTTGTTAGGATTTCCGTCCTGCAAGGCTGCTGAGTGGAATTTGGAAACTGGGTTGCGATTATCTTCCGATTATCTTCCTCGACATGGTTTCCTCTTGTCGGTGGTACAGGGTAGGAAGTCTGGCAAGGGGGAAACCCAGTAGTGCAAGGGGGTGGGGGAATGGGGGAAGGTCCTTGTGTGTGTGTGCGTGTGAGTGCGCGGGTGTGTGTGTGTGTGTCAGTGTGCTCAATTGGAACACTTGACGAATCTGTAGGCGTAAATTGTTTAGTAAATATTCTCAGACTGGCGCTTCAGAAAAGTTGACAATTAGGTCCTGATGTATCGCCACTATAACATATATGTTGTGTTATTTCATTGTAGTTAAAACGACGAGTAGGCCTACAACAATCACCATGACTACTGAATCCTCGTCGTCTAATGGTAATTATATTGAACTGCAGTGAAATAACACTAAATATATATTATATTCATAGTCAGTCAGCAATCATTAAATTATGTTTTTTTTTTGTTGCATTAAATATGAATGAATGAATGAGATGGGATTTAACGTCCTACTTTTATATCCAAGCCGGGATAATGAAATAAAATGAAATGAAATGGGGTTTAACGTCCTATTGTTCTGCTCCAACTGGGCTGGTGAAAACGGGCTTACGCCATACAGTGTGCTATGAGAGAAATTTTGTCACGACAGCGGCGCTACGGCCTACTCTTATGTCAAATTCCAACTGCCAAGGGATTTTTTCTCATGCACGCCAATGTGTACACGGGACCTCGGTTTTTCGTCCCATCATAACGACTAGACACGTGGTTCAATTTTATTTCAATAATTCGCTTGCGCGTAGGGATCTTTATCAGTGGGTGGAAACCGGAGGACCCGGAGAAAACCCACGAGGTTGGACAGGCTGTCACGTACAACCGGGGAAATCGAAACCATGCCAGTTGACTCAATGACAGACCTTATGATACAACGCGCACTCGGGAAAATATTGTAAGTGCCGAGTCTATAGAATTTCTAATTTAATATTCATATTCAACAGGCAGTATGATTAAAAGTTGTGATTAAAAGTTGATTATTGATTGTTGAAACACTTTTGTTTATTTTTTCAGGTTCTGGCGAAACAGATGATTCACAAAAAATAGTCCTTATTATCGGAGCTCTTTTTGGCAGTTTGTTTGTTCTTGTTGTGTTCTTTTACTCATTGGGGTACGCTCTTCACACCTTCAAAACGAAATATTCAACCAATATAAATCCTTCTAACAATTCGTACAACCAATCATATCATAACAATGGTCACATGAACATATGCGCCCCACCTCCATATGAGGAGCACGCATTACCAGATAGTCCTCCGCCTAATTATGAAACGATAGATCCGAACAGAATTTCAAATGCTGCCGCCGTTTTGAGAAATATGTTCAACAACACAGACCGAATGGGTTCAAGAACGAGAAACCACAGGAGAATGTCGGTGGAGTGTGAATCAATCAATGGACATTCTTTAGACGAATCGCCAAGAATGAACAACAATATTAGTTCATTTACTAATAATAATTCGCCGCCATTTATTTCGACGGCCGCAGACCGAATGAATTCCAGAACGAGAAACCACAGAAGAATGTCGGTGGAGTGCGTATCAATCAATGGACATACTATGGACGATTCACCAGGAATAAACAACAACATTAGTTCAATTACTGATTATAATTCGCCGTCATATATTTTGGTGGCGCCAATTTCGACGGCCGCCACATTAGAGTCCAATACCCCAAGAAGAAATATGAGACCTATAGAATCTTAGTCTCGTTGATCGTGATTTAGACAATTGTGAATCCCTTTCAAACGGCGATATTTTTGTGAATGTTGGAGCTTGAAAAAGAATACCAGTCAGTATTTTTAGAGATATACTGAATTGAAAGTTTCCCAATACACTCCTTCCACTGCAGACTATATTTATAAACAAACCCGCGCAACCAATACAATGGCGGGAAATTATATTGGTTTTATTTTGATGAAGATAAATTATGGGAGATTAGAAATGAAATGAAATGAAATGGGGTTTAAGGTCCTAATGTTCTGCTCCTATTCTGGGCTAATGAAGACGGGCATGTGCCATACAGTGTGCTATGAGGGAAATTTTGCCCGGGCAGCGGCACTATCGCCTACTCTTATATCGAATTCCAACTGCCAAGGGATCTTTTACGTGCATTCCAATGTATACACAGGACTTCGGTTTTTTGTCTCATCCGAAGGACTAGACAGCTGTCCTTGTCAGGCCCTCCGTTCTGCACCACTGACAAGGTAAAACCGGGAGATTAGATAAAGAGCTGACAGTTCTCACTACAATAGTTAAAAACTAGATACTGTAAAGGCTATTTGCTGAAAATTTCAGTCAAATTGCTTCACTCTAAGCCGAGAAAACCTTATTTTAAAATCTTTATAGCCTCCATTGTCATTGTTAGCGCTGTCACGATAAGTAACAAAGTCTCGATTATCCACTTTTGCGTTTAATTATCAACAACGTTGAACAGCAGATCGGATTCAAATCCATTGAAAATCGGACAGATAAGATCACATCGAGAGTTGATTATGGTCTTTTCATGTTAATAAATATCTAATTAATAGTTTATAACATTTCAGGCCTAAATAAAGGCCTGCAATAGGCAGATTTACCTCTTGCATAATGTATGTTTAAATTTAATGTTTATTACATGTCCTTAGCGTGTAGAGAACCGTCCATTGACAATCGGACAGATAAGATGGCATCAAGAGTTGATTATGGTCTTTTCATGTTAATAAATATCTAATTAATAGTTTATATAACATTTCAGGCCTAACGAAAGGCCTGCAATAGGCAGATTTACCTCTTGCATAATGTATGTTTAAATTTGATGTTTATTACATGTCCTTAGCGTGTAGAGAACCGTGACAAATTACATATTGTCCGCAAAATGCAAATGAAGATATCATTCTGTACACAGGGAACTATCATCTTGGAGATTAGACCTCCACCATTAATTGCCACCATATCTACAAATTGATATACTTGTTTGTAATGCGGTACTCCGTTTCACATTCTGTCATCCAAACAAAGACTGAATAAACTTTTTCTATTTTATTACACGGAAGTGAAATAAATACATCTCAAAATTCAGATACAGTGGTAAATAAATCTTTTCTATTTTATTAAATGAAAGCAAAACAAATACTTCTCAAAATTCGTATACGGTGGTTTCGACTCAAATCCTCGATTTAGGAATGAGAATGTCGGTCAACTAGCCTAATGTCTGTTCTCATGCGGAGCTAGTTGTGGACAGACAGCATAAGTTTGGTATGCCTTTGATATACGTTGTAATAACTAATATACTGTGATGTATTATATTTTAATAAATTATATATTTGTTTTAAGAAATAAAAGTTATTTTCTCCTTATTATTTATAAGAATGGTGTATATAATGTCAAATTAGAAATGAAATGAAATAAGGTTCAAGGTCCTACCTTTCAGCACCAGCTTGGCTAATGAAAATAGGTATTCAGTGTGGTATGAGGTACTTTTTGCCCATGCAGTGGTGCCATGACCTACTTGATTTTCGATTTCCAAAATGAAATGAAGTGAAATGGGGTTTAACGTCCTACAGTGTGCTATGAGGGAAATTTTGAGCGGACAGCGGCACTCCGGCCTACTCTTATATCGAACTCCAAGTGTCAAGGCATCTTTTACATGCATGCTAATGTGTACACGGGACCTCGGTTTTCATATCATCCGATTGACTAGACAGCTGTCCTTGTCAGGCCCTCCGTCCTGCATCACTGACAAGGGGGAACCACGCCGGAAAATCTGGGTGAACCTTCTCGTCCAATGCAGGGATCGAACACCCAAACTCCAGGCTAGCGAACCAGCGTCTTACCGATTTAGCCACCACGATCACTACAATTTCCAAAATGTCGGGGAATATGCTGCTAACCGTATATACAGACATGAAAACAGGTTCAGACCAGACTCAAAATCCAGTGGAAGAATCCAATTAGATTTTAATGAAATCTGACAATCAATGGCAGACTGTTGGCTTTCAATATCGGATTATGATGTAGGTTTTTATGTTGTGCCTCTAGTCATGTAAAAGAACACTACATGTAAAGACAAATAGCCAGACTATGAAACATACTCATAATGAAATGAAATAGGATTTAACGTCCTACTGTTCTGCTCCGAACTGGGCTAATAAAGGCTAATGAAGACGGCATACACCATACAGTGTGCTATGAGGGAAAATTTGCCCGGACAGCGGCTCTACGGCCTACTCTTATATTGAATTCCACTCAAGGGACCTTTTATGTGCACACCAATGTGCACACGGGACCTTGGTTTTTCGTGCAATCCAAACGACTAAACAGCTGTCCTTGTCGGGCCCTCTGTCCTTCATCACTGACAAGGGGGAACCACACATAAAAATCTGGATGAACTTTCTCGGCCAACGCAGGGATCGAAGTGAACTTCTGCCGTCCGGGCTAACGAGCCAGCGCCTTACTCACTACCCACTTAGCCACCGTGACCTCCCCCACCCTGCCAATTAACTAAGTCTTCAATGTGAGCAAATAAAATGTGGTTTAACTACTACTGTTCTACCCCGAGTGGGCTAATAAAGACGGGTATACTACATAGTCTGTGCTATATGAGGGAAATTTTGTCTAGACAGGGGTTCTGAGGCCTACTCTTATATCGAATTCAAATGGCAAAGAAATCTGTTATGTGCAAGGCAATGTGTACACAGGACCTCTTTTTTGTTCCATTTTCTTGGCCAAAACCTCCAACCTCTTGGTTTTCTCTGGGTCCTCCGGTTTCCTCCCACTGCTAAAGACCCCTACGCCCAAGCAATTTATTGAAATAAAATTGAACCATATGTTAGTCTCGAAATGACTTATTTGTGTCGAGTGGACGTTAAACCCCATTTCTCTCTCTCGGCCAAAACCAAGAGCATATTAGAACTGGAGTTAGGTGAAAATCTAAACAGTGGTTGGTTGGGATGGACTAGTGGTGTAGAGTGTCGCGCTTCCAGCTCTATCTGGCCAGCCACTTTTGGCTTGCAGTCGTTTTTTCGATCCCTGATGTGAGCGTATGTGGCCTTGAGATAGGAGTGCCTTCTCAACGTCATGGGTTTACTTTGGATATTCCTGTTTCCTCCCACAGGAAAGATGTGTGCACTAACTTGTCTGCGATATCACCCTCAGTGGAAGCGGAAGTTAGACACTAATAGAGAAATTAAATGAAATGGGGTTTAACGTCCTACTGTTCTGCTCCTAACCGGGCTAATGAAGATGGGCATATGCCTTACAGTGTGCTGTGAGGGGAATTATGCCCGGACAGCGGCACTACGGCCTATTCTTATATCAATTCCAACTGCCAAGGGATCTTTTACGTACACGCCAATGAGTACACTGGACCTCGGTTTTTCGGCCCATTTGAATGATTATATGTTGTCCCTTGTCAGGCCCTCAGTTTTGTATCCCTTACAATGGGTAACCATGCTGGAAAATCAAGACAAACTTTCTCGGCCAATGCAGGGATCGAACACCCGATCTCCAGGTTTATCGAGCCAACGTCTTACCCCACTAGCCACAGTGACCCCAAATACTAGAAGAAGAAGAATTTAAACAAAAGAAAACAACTTTGATAAAGATATATAACAATTTTATTGGATAATATATAACCAAAATAAATTATGTTTCTCTTTCTTATATTACATAATTTAACAATATACACTTTTAAGAAATAATACATCATTTATTTTATTTACACTATTATACTCAGTATTCAACACTTATCTTCTATTTTAGTCAGTCCTTTGTTAATCTAATAACTTAACTCAGCCCTTTGTTAACCTAACAACTCAGCTCGGGGTAGTGGTCACACCCAACAACATTTCTACAGTATTATACTCATTATTCAACTTTTAGTCAGCCCTTTGATAATCTAACAACTCAGCTCAGGGTAGTAGTCACACCCAACAACATTTCTACAGTATTATACCCAGAGAGAGAAAGAGAGAGAGAGGGTTTAACTCCACTCAATGACAGACCTTGTGATATCCCCCACCCCACCCCAAGTAGTTTGGAGAGGCTACAGTTATGATAATATTCAAAATCAATTTCAATTATTTTTTGGGTAAAAGTGATTATGCTTCTTAAAAATCGTATTTGTGCAACAACTATTAACTGATTTAATTTCTGGTTATCCTCATTAAAAGCCAGTTATTCCAATTTATTCTCATTAAGATCCATTTCTCCTCATTAAGACCCAGTTATTCCCATTTAATCTCATTAAGACCTAGTTGGTCTCATTCTCTCATATTGAATTTGATAATGAGTTATTGAGGCATAGTTTGACTTTTTAATAATGACAGTGATTTATGTTCTCATTAAGACCCAGTTATTCTGACTAGGATCCAGTTATTCTCATTAAGACCCAGTTATTTTCATTAAAACCTGGTTATTCTCTTTAAAGGCTCAATATCACTCTTGTTGTAACTGAATAATATGTCCCAATCTTTATTCTCGTCAACAAATTGTACTATTTTACAATATTTCAATTAATTGATGATACAAATTTCATCTTAACACACCTTATTTAAAAATTTTGAAAAATTCAACATAATGGTTTGAAACGTCTAACGTAAACCTTTTCAAATGAAACTTTGATTTAAAAAACCCTCTGGACAAGTAAAATAGGATGTAATGGATAATTTACACAACAGGTAGGACACTTAAACATCTAGTACTTAGATAGAGATATTTTTTTATTTTCTGGAGCTTTCAAGCCAGCAAGAGTGTTATTGTCCCTTTAAGGCCCGATCATTTCCATTAAGACCCAATTATACTCATTAAGACCCAATTATTCTCATTAAGACTCAGTTATTTTCATTAAGACCCAGCTACTTTCATTAAGGGCTGACCATTCTCATTAAGACCTGGTTATTCTCAATAAGACCCAGTTATTCTCATTAAGACTTGGTTATTCTCATTAAGACTTGGTTATTCTCATTAAGACTTGGTTATTCTCATTAAGACTTGGTTATTCTCAATAAGACCCAATTATTCTCATTAAGACCCAGTTATTTTCATAAAGATCTAATTATTCTCATTAAGACCCAGTTGTAAGAAAAGGAAATGTCAAGAGCATGAAAGTTGAATATCCATGGAGGTTACCAGTTGAGTGGAGAGTGTAGTGTGGAGTGGAGTGGCTAGGTCGACAAATGGCTGCTGTAAGCAGCGCAATGGTAACGAGTATGCTACAGATAATAATCCAAATGTTGACCATACAAAAATCTAATAAAAAATATTAAATAGTGGGCTATTACACACACATTTGAAAATGGTATCAATTTTTTCAAAAAATATTTTTAGACAAATACTGTACATTACCTAAATACACAAAGAAAACATTACCACAGGATGGTAGGCCTACAATAAATAATAAGCTATTATATTCAAATATTGGAGTGGTCCTATTCTTATCGGGTATTTCTTTTTTTGTTATAAACAATATTTTATTACACTTGAAATGGGATTGGCGAATGGGTATTGTTGGTAGCAAGCAGAAAATAAAATGTAGTCAAAAGAAATGGGGTTTAAAGTCCTACTTTTCACCACCAACAGGGCTAATAAATACAGGTTTATGCCAGAAATTCAAACTGTCAATTTCTTCATCCCATGTGAATGCTTAGATGTAGTTCTTTGCCAGGGGAAAACATGCTTCATGGCCAGTGCCTTCTTCACTGAACCACTGTGCCCCCCGGTTTCGACTCCTCCCCCCCCCCCCCCCCCATAAAAAAAACAGAAAGAAATGGGGTTAATACAAAGTCGGGATTCTATGACCCAACTGATTTACTACCATGGGAATAACCGGTTATGTACAGGTTATGTATAGCAGACTTTAGCTTGAAATGTTGTGCTACATATATGCAAGAGGTAAGTTATTATCATTAATTTATCCTAAAATCTATTTTCAGTTACTAATTCATAACTAATTGGCTTTTTCTACAGTACACATGTGAGATAACATGTCTCTTTATTATAATTATACTATGCATAATCGTAACCAACTTATATTTATAACATAACATAATTATAACCTATCTATATTTGAAATATAACACAGTTATACCAACTTATATTTATAACATAATTATAACCTATTTATATTTTAAATATAACATAATATATTTCAATGAAAACATAAGATATTTCAAATATAACATAATTATAACCAACTTATACGTATAATATAACATAATTATAACCAACTTATATTTATAATATAATTCTAAAGGTCAGTCGCCAGAAATAAAATTCTAAAGTAACTTGTATTCCATTTAATTGTTTCATGTGTAAGTTATAACGTAATTATAACCAACTTCTACTTTATTTATAACATAATTATACCCAACTTCTATTTCAAATATAACATAATTATAACCAACTTATATTTTGAATATAACATAATTATAACAAACTTATATTTTGAATATAACATAATTATAACAAACTTATATTTCAAATATAACTTAGTTATAACCAACTATATAACACAATTATATTTGTATGTGTATGGAGGAGTGGGGTGGTTGAGTGGTCTTACATGTTCACTTTAGATCATAAGCTCTGTCACTGAGTCAAGTAATGTAGTTGAATCTGACAAGGAGCAGCATTGCCTGTCCAGCCTCGTGAATTTTTTCAGGATCACCCGCCCCACTTTTAAAGACCCCTACGCACAAGAGAATTACTGAAGTAAAATTGTACAATATGTTGGTCCTCGAATGACCAACTTATATTTATAACATAACATAATTATAGCTAACTTTTATTTACATTAAAAATTTAAAAGAAAATAAACAATCTCATTTATATATATTTATACATATTACACATCACAATGATCCACAGTGAATATTCGCTAGGCCGCAACAATCACTGATAAAGATGACATCTATGCATCTTAATGAACCACAAATATTAACTTTTTTCCTCTGACAAATTAAATTCTAAAAAATCTTTTTTTATGTATTAGAAAAATAAATACAGACGTTTGACCTATTTGTAGGTAAAAATTTTTCCTATTTAGTGTAAATGGGTTTTAAAAGACTCTATTCTGCCCGAATCAGTAACGGCTTATGTAAACAATGCACGCATTATTGAGCCAATGATTGACGCCGCGTGATGAGACGTCACATGTTGAAAGCAGGCATCTTTTACAGAGATATTAGAAGACTTTTGTAATCCTCTGCGAAGCAGATTGATTCCGCATTTCAATCAAAAATACAAACTTTTTCTTGTAATATTAATTCATTGTCATATCTTTTAAATCACACTCATGGTTGGCGTGATATTATTAACTATATCAAAGTTTTTTTAATTGCTTAAAGAGAGAGAAAGAAATGGGGTTTAACATCCAATCGACACAAACCAGGTCATTTTGGGACTAACAAATGGTGCAACTTTTATTTCATTAATTTGATTACATGTAGGGGTCTTTAGCAGTGGGAGGAAACTGAAGAACCCGGAGAAAACCCATATGTTTGACTGGCGTAAATAAAACAAGAAGAGTCAGTCACTGGACATCCCTTATATAGCAAAAACTAAGTCAAATTATTAAATAGGCGAAAATTCTATTTAGCAAAAGGTTCAACTAGTATAACAGGACGATGTATCTTAAATAGTTTATGAGATATGCTCCAGGAACAAAATCAGGACACCATAATAACAGATTTAGGCCACACCAATCTAATTTTCTGGTCTTTGGGGTCTTAATAAATAAACAGTCACCTAAATCCTGTGAAAACAAATCTCATTTTCTTTCATTGTTTTTTGTTTATCGTATGGCATAAAAAGAACTTTCTGTGTTAATCGGTTCATGTCATGGCGCCTTAGTTTATTTTCAATTTTTTTTTCTTAGTGCCAAATTTTGTCTAATTATTTCATATACAGCTGTTTAAATTAATTATTTCCTTAGCAAAAACAAATGTAATAAATACGGTAAAGATAAAATATTATTAAATAATTTACATATTAATAAAATAAATATATCATTATTGCCACTTTCTTTATATCTAAATAATCTAGTATGCACCAAAACAAACTTCTACGTCAAAACTAATAACTGTAACTAAAGTCAGAAGAACTAATAATAATTTAAGACAGGGAAACTAATTAATATCAGTAAAGGCTGGGGAACTAACTAACTTAAATTAAGTCAAGAAAACTAATTACAATCGACAGAGAAACTAATAAAATAAGGAACTAATTACTGTAAGTAAAGACATGGAAAATAATTAACATGAGAAACTAATCGACAGAGAAACTAATAAAATAAGGAACTAATTACTGTAAGTAAAGACATGGAAAATAATTAACATGAGGGGCAGGCTAAAAATTAATATTCGTAAATGCAAGCATTATATATTGAGCAAAGAAGTTTTTACTAGTCATTTTTTTGTTTTTGTATTGTTTAACATATATTTTCAGTAAATTATTCAGGTTCCTTTTGTATCATTTATGCTTAAATATAATAAATAGTGTAAACATATATAATATGATAAATATATAATATATTTCTTTCTATACTTAATTACGGTTACTAATTACTTTCTTGTTAATAGCAATGTATCGTAATTAATTACCATGACCCATTACATTTAAAGTAATTAAATACCATTACCAATAACATTGAAAGTAAATGATTACCATTATATATTCCATTGAAATAATAATAATACTTTCATATCTTTCATTGACAGTAATTAATTACCATTCCATATTGCATTGAAAGTAATTAATTACCATGATTTTGAGGGTAATTAATTACCATGACTTTGAGGGTAATTAATTACCATAACATTGAAAGTAATTAATACTATTACACATTACATTACATTTCCATATCTGTGCCATTAGAGAGTTTTGACACATTTCATGCACCAAGTTTATTATATTTAATAACATGAAAATATATTGAGTACAGTATAAAATATATTATTTTATCTTCTATATACTGAACAACTAAACAAACGTCAATCATATCTAATATAAAACCCAGTTTAACCCTTTAGCTCCTGGCACATGTACATATTCACATCCATCTTAACTATCCCAGTCGGTGCAGAGAAGTAGGGGGTTAAAGCCTATTTCATTTAATCTTTATCATCAGGTGTTTTTTTTATATCTAGTTGTTCAGTATTTTAAATATTATTATATACATCAATATATATTTATATATCGGTAAGGCCACAGTGCCGTGTCCAGGGCCATGTATCACAAAATTTTAGGAATTTGATTGGATAATATTAGATTGATTTTAGTGCTTAGCCAATCAAAATTGAAGCATCTACTAAAATTTGGATTTTATCTTAAATAGTTAAGATTTCAAGAAACAGGGCCCTGGTTACAAGCTGCAGTTAGTTGTAAAGTTAATAATATACTCAAAAATAAAAAAGAGTTCAAAATAGAGAGAGAGGGTGAGAAATGGGGTTTAATGTTCACACGACACAAACTAGGTCATTTCGGCACTAACGCATGGTTCAATTTTATTTCAATAATTTACTTGCGTGTAGGGGTCTTTAGCAGTGGGAGGAAACCGGAGGACCCGGAAAATACCCACGAGGTTGGAAAGGCGACCTTACTCCTTGTCACGTACAACCAAATCCACGCCAGTTGACTCAATGACAGACCTTATGATACAGCCCGCACGTGCTAACCATTCAGACCCCCCCCCCCCCCCCCGAGTTCAACTAACTGCAGCTTGTAACCGGGACACAGTACTGTGGCCTTATCCATATACATATCTATAAGTTACTAACATCTGATATATTAATATATCTATGATTTATATATTATATCACCCATTATGTCTTATTTACAAACAGTATCACATCATAATAATAATATAAATATTGAGTATTTCATTTCATCCAACATAATTAATGTGTGGTTTAACGATCGAGAGCAAAACATTAAGATAATATTGATATTGTACGAGGATGTTAGTCCGAGTGTTGTATCAATATATTACACAATGTCTTACTAGAGACCATTAGACAACTTAAAATACAGATACGTGCATTTCAATGACATCATCATTCCGGTCCAATATTTCATCTAGTTTAAATAATGTACATTTTTCGAAATAATGGTATGCCAATATCAAAGGATAACGTGACATCTCTTTTTTATGTTTTAATACTAGAAAGTCTGATTAAAACACAGATCCTATTGTGTTCCCTTTTTTATAGTTCAAAATTTCATTTTACTTGTCTTTATTACACTAGGATTTGCAAGAGTTGTTACATAACCGGCGTTATGGATGATGTGAGGGATTACCCAACAGCCTGTTACGGCGAGTTCTTGGCGTGCAGTGTACGGAACTGTGGGTATCCCACTAGAAACATCAACACTGATTGGTTAATCAAATGTCTGATGTCAGGGTCAGAAGACCCTTGTATCAACCAGTCAGATCTTGTAGTAAAGGCCAACGAAAAACGAAATATAGATCTGTATTTTAATCTGATGGTAATTCTAGACTACATGGTATGAATACAATCACAATGTTTATAACACTTTTCTTTCACAAGTTGTTTTTCAAGTACTGGTATTCTAGTATTATTTTATGGGTCAATCGCTAAATGTCTCTCAAGAATTATTATTATGTTATTTTATAAATGTTAATACATTACATAACTGTCAGTTAATAAAGACCTATTTCAAGTTTAATTTTACACATTAAAGAATTCCCTTAAAACGGAACCAGCGATTGCCAGGCAAGATATGTCCACATTTTGCAAGAGATGGATAGAGAACAAGCTAAATTTGTGAAACTGATCGGCATATAATCAGATTTGACTTTTTACAAAAAAGAAGTGTGCCTTTTAACGACTAAAGCTATTCAAAGTTCACCATCTATATTTAATCAAGAACTGTTTCTTATTCAAAGTTCAGTATCTATACTTAATTAAGAACTGTTTTTTATTCAACGTTCACCATCTATATTTAATTAAGAACTGTTTCTTATTCAAAGTTCAGTATCTATACTTAATTAAGAACTGTTTGTTATTCAACATTCACCATCTATACTTAATTAAGAACTGTTTGTTATTCAATGATCACTATTTATATTTAATTAAGATCTATTTGCTATTGAAAGCTCACTATCTATACTTATAAAAGAACTGTTTTTTCCTAAATACCTAACTATCAAAATCAATTATTGTTAGGAGATTCTACTTCCAGGCTGGTTGGAGGGTTCAGAAATCCCCAGAGTTAAGAAGGGTTTGGGGTTAAAGATAGGTAAACATACCACTAACCAAAGTTTTAATCTAAACACCGTTGGAGCAAGATCGTTTTCATATCCGACAGCTTCACATTGGAAAGACGTTCCTACTTGAAACAGCATCCTTTCCTATCAACTGTCATTAAAGACTTGTCTGTTTTGATGCTATGCGCTTTGAGTTGTTCAAACTGTACACACCACTTTTCATATGACAGTGTGGAATAACTCTATACAAATATTCACATTATTATTACTATAACCCAGAACTCATCAGTCGGGTAGTGGCAGAAGAGTCATACTTGGTTTCCCCAGTGGTCTCGTTCCGTTCTACTCCACTATACCCGTAGTTAATTCAAAGGGATTTCAAATTATCTGCTCTGGCCTTGATCGTGGCTTGAGTCTGTGAACCAATAAAAAAACAGTTTACAAAACCAGTCTTATAAAGACTCTTTAGCCTTTTTGTTTACATTCACAACAATATGGCGGGTAGTTGCAACATGATGAGAGTTACTTCCCTTTGCCAACATTCTTTGCAATTAACGATTTATGGGATTGGTCGATAAAGTAGCACAATCATCAAGGGCAGATAACTTGAATACGTGTCACCCCCCCTATGGATTAACCCAGAGGTTAGTGGAGTAAAATGGAATGAGACCACTGGGGATACGGAGGATGCAGAAAAGTAGAACGTTAAACGCCATTAAATTCACCCATTATTATTATAAAACCCAATTCTTGATAGATGGATATTCTGTATTAAAATGACCTCCTCAACTTTAGTGATCTCCTCCCCAACTATCCTGACCTCCTTCATAATGGCCTGATCTCCTTCATAATGGCCTGAAAACATTGATAATATTATGAATATGACTTGTCTTTAAAGATGGCCGACAAGACTTCAGGATCTGGTTTCTCATCCGAATAATCCTGATTATCATCTAAATCCATCTTGTGACTGGAACTGTCAAAACTCGTGCTGGCGCCGTTGCTATTCTCCAACATACTGTCAGGGGCTTCTCCGTTAGTTACGTGTTGCCTCATGTGCTTATTGAGTTCATATTTACGCACAAATTCTTTCTTACAAACTTGACATTCGTGAGGTTTTTCACCTGAGTGAATTGATTGTTTGTGACGCTTGAGATGGTCGCTGCGACTAAAATGTTTTTGACATATATTGCAGATGTGGGGCTTGATTCCGGTGTGTATTTGCATATGTCTTCGCAGGTGAATATTTTTTGCAAATGACACACCACAAGTTGGGCAAGAAAATGGCCGATCTCCTGTATGTGACCTGATGTGCACTTTAAGAATACAATAACTATCGAAAGACTTGCCGCAAAAATCACAAGCATAAGGTCGTTCGGCAGAATGGACTCTCATGTGACCTTGGAGATTAGATTTGGTGCTGTACTTTTTGGTGCAAATCGTGCAGGCATAGCCATCACGGGAATGAATCTTTACATGCTTCCCTAAATTCTTTTTATCACCAAAAGATTTTCCACAGATTGGGCATAAATACGGTTTGCTAGCGTCTGGTGGTTCGCTAGCATCGGGATATAATTCATAATCTCGACCCTCCTTAATCATCGTAATTAACTTCTTCTGAAGAACCGGATCGTCGCATTCCTGTTGATGAGTCTGCAGATCCTCTTGGGTGTCGAATAATTCCCCGCAAATTGTACAAATGATCACAGACAGAGAGTCATTCAAAATGTCCGCCAGGGTTGTTTTTTCGCCCGAATTTCCAAACGGGCTGGTGGAGAGTTTTGGTAAGTCGTTAATACTAATTGTGTTGTTGCCAGACTTCCTGTTTGGTGCTGGACTGCTAGTCATCAGGTTGTCAGGGTAACTGACCTCTGAATGAATGGAAGGTGAATATGAGGGGAATGGACTGTTCACCAATTCAATATCTGAAATAGATAATAAAAGATTAAAGCAGTTTATCTTTATTTGAGGGGCATTTAATCTCTTTCAAACTAAAAAGTTAGGTTCCCAGGCAACGAAACATACGCCCACAGCAGCTAAATCGTCCGGGCAGTCAACAAGAGTTGTCGCATATTTTTACTTTTTTCGATAATGAAACATTTATAATACACTAACATCTGATTAAGAGCAACAACTGAGAAAACCAGTAGAATTTGTTTGGTTTTTATAAAGTTCTACCCCATGCTAACGTTTTGTATACAAAACTTTTAATATCATCGATTTAGCTGTTCCAAGTCATAAAAATTAATTGAAAATCAATATACTTGTTCCTCTCAAGATCTTAAACTCTGTGTATAAATCTGAAGTCAATCGGATGATAACTTTAGCCTTTAGAGCGTCACAAGATTTTGCAAAGTGATCAAGGGCCATAACTTTGGCAGTAATTATCGGAAATCGTTGAAAATCAATAGGATTCTTCGTCTCATGATCCTAAACACTGTGTATAAATTTAAGGTCAATCGGATATTAACTTTAGCCTCTAGAGTGTCCACAAGATTTTTCAAAGTGATTAAGGGCCATAACTCTGGCAGTAATTATCGAAAATCGGTGAAAATCAATAGGCTTCTTCGTCTCATGACCTTAAACATTGTGTAAAAATTTAAAGTCAATCGGATATTAACTTTGGCCTCTAGAGCGTCCACTAGATTTTTTTAAGTGATCAAGGGCAATAACTCTGGTAGTAATTATCGGAAATCGCTGAAAATCAATAGGCTTTTTCGTCTCATGACCTTAAACACTGTGTATAAATTTAAGATCAATCGGATATTAACTTTGGCCTCTAGGGCGTCCACAAGATTTTTCAAAGTGATCAAGGGCCATAAATCTGGCAGTAATTATCGGAAATCGCTGAAAATAGGCTTCTTCGTCTCATGACCTTAAACGCTGTGTACATATCTAAAGTCAATTGGATATTAACTTCGGCCTCTAGAGCGTCCACAAGATTTTTTGAAGTGATCAAGGGCCATCACTCTGGCAGTAATTATCGGAAATTGCTAAAAATCAATAGGCTTCTTCGTCTCATGACCTTAAACACTGTGTATTAATTTAAAGGCAATCGGATATTAACTTTGGCCTCTAGAGCGTCCACAAGATTTTTCGAAGTGATCAAGGGCCTTTACTCTGGTAGTAATTATCGGAAATCGCTGAAAATCAATAGGCTTCTTCGTCTCATGACCTTAAACACTGTGTATAAATTTAAGATCAATCGGATATTAACTTTGGCCTCTAGAGCGTCCACAAGATTTTTTGAAGTGATCAAGGGCCATAACTCTGGCAGTCTTATGATCTTAAAAACTGTGTATAATTTAAAGTCAATCAGATATTAACTTTAGCCTCTAGAGCGTCCACAAGCAATTGTGGACGCCGGACGGACGGACCGCCGGACGGACAGGGGCGACGACAATATACGACCACATTTAAATGTGGGTGTATAATGAAATGGGGTTTAATGTCCTCCTGATCTGCTCTGACTGGGCTAATGAAGACGGACATACGCCATACAGTGTGCTATGAGGGAATTTTGCCCGGGCAGCGGCGCTACGGCCTACTCTTATATTGAATTCCAACTGCCAAGGGATCTTTTACGTGCACGCCAATTTGTACATAGGACCTCGGTTTTTCGTCCCATCCGAACAACTAGACAGCTGTCCTTGTCAGGCCCTCCGTCCTGCAAACTTCACTAAAAACTTCACTGAAAGCCAATGTGAGCCCTGCACCGAAATGAGCAGACATATTGTCTCAAAGCATCTGATTTTATCTATTTCACGGGCAGTCTCCATCCCCCACCCCGATCTAATGTCAATGTCAAACTTGACTCCACCTTGGAACCCCCGCTGCTCAAAATCCTGGACACGTCCCTGCAAAGATCCCACATCCTACAGAAGAGTACTAATTAAATCTCTCACCCCCTCCTCCTTAATACTTACCATCTATTGGTCCATTTAAAAGTTGTTTTGGGAGGAAATCTGTTAATCTGTCTGTTAATTCAGGAAATATATGAGCAATCTGAAACATATAATAATAATAGTAATACAACGTTTGAGGAATATCCCCCCTTCAAGCCTGGAAATAAGGCACCTGTCACAGACAATGTCAGGTACAGATTCAGGCTTTGTCAGTCACAAAACCTCTGATGCCTGTCATTTTGTCCCGCACTGATTTGTCTTTTTTAATGATATTATTAATACATGTCCGGCACTAAGTTGAAAATGTCAGGTACTATTTCATTAGTGTTTGACATTTTCGTCAGGTACATCTAAAATCGTTATTTTCAGACCTGCCCTTTTTCTTTGGTTAAACTTATTTCTCATGAATGCAGTTCATCGTCTACTATTATATGCATGTTCTCAAAATCCAATTACAACAGCAGCGAAGGATGACATGTAATCATGAAAATAAATGTATAAACAGGTATGGTGTCCATATTTTTCTTCACGATTTTCAGTCTGATATCCCTTTGTCAGTGGTTTAGGAAGAACTGTCTGGCACGGGAGAAATATCTAGGTGATCAATTGGTATGGAAAAACAATATCAACAGAGAGAGAGAAAGAGAAGAGAGAGAGAGAGAGATGGGGTTTAACGTCCACTCGACACAAACTAGGTCATTTCGGGACTAACATATGGTTTAATTTTATTTCGATAATTTGCTTGCGCGTAGGGGTCCACGAGATTGGACAGGCGACCCTACTCCTTGTAAGTACAACCGGGGATTCGAAACCCCACCAGTTGACTCAATGACAGGCTTTATGATACAGCGTGCACGTGCTAACCATTCGGCCATCCAATCCCCCGGGTAGGGATGGCCCAGCCGTCTAGAGTGTCAGGCTTCAAGCTCTATTTGACCATTCACTTCTGGCTTGCAGTTGTGGTTTTGATCCCTTGTGCAAGTTTATGTGGCTTGAATAGAAGTACCTACTCAACCTCGTGGAGTTTACTCTGGGTACTCTGTTTCCTCACACAGGAAAGACCTCTGCATGTGTGCTAAGATAATAAAAATGAAAATCAGTAAGGCTGACCTTAAAAATATCTTTGTTTCACCAAACCCGACCCACAATCGAGGAGAAGGGTCGGTAGGTCGTTTTTTTTTTCAGATTTTTTTTTTAAAGTTAGAGAAATCAATACAGAAAACTTATTAGCTGTATACTACAGATTCATCAATTTTGTTTAATGAATTTGGGGTCTGACGTAAAAAGTAACGAACTGAAAGTTTTTTTTATTAAACTTAAGAGCTAATTTGACAGCTTAATAATTTTCCGGGTGGAAACATTCGTCTTCTTTATTCAATTGGCAAAAAAATCAATGAGTGAATGACATCGGGAATTTTTCGTGATGCCCGACTCGCACACGATTTGCCACGAACTTGAAGTGTGAAACTCCTTCAACACGTTTTTAACGATACTGCGGGTTGTGCCTTCATTTTTCTCGAAAACGGATATTGAAAATATCGTCGTCATGTTTAAAACTACGCACCGCAGACATAGAAGTAGAATAATTTCGTGGGAATGGACGTGTATTCGTCTGCAACCATTTTGTTGAGAAGCGACACCTATGACGCTTTCGTCTTGATCAACCAGTTTCAATAATGAATCAAACCATAGCCATAGTAAAGGGAAATAACTCTCGTGATATATTTCAGGTTGACACACAAAATAAAATAAAAAGATCGTGGAAAAGTGCAATAAAATAATTTAAGTCGGGGGTGGTTTTAGTTAGTCGGTCGCGTTAGGCGAAACAAAGATATTTTTAAGGTCAGCCTAATAAGTAGTATTCCATAGAATTGTGACCTGTTTATTCCAGTTCAACATATATTAGAAGACCTTACCATAGCTGTGAAGTTCCGTCTCTCATCTGGACTATATTTAACCCACGACCTTAAACACTGTAAAATCTGATCATCTATTAATACGTCTTCATGTAGAAGTTTTAAATGATTTAAAAAAATATTTACAGGCAACTCGTGGAAATAATCGTCTTCTAATATCTGAAAATAGTTTTTAATAAAATCGTGAAAGATGCATTATGGGAGATTAGATAAGAGTTGGTAGTTCTCACTATAATAGTTAAAAACTAGATATTGTAAAGGGAATTTGCTGAAAATTTCAATCAAATTGATCCACTTTGAACCGAGAATTTATCCATTTCTTGATTTAATCATGAATGAGCCTTGAGCAGCAGATCGGATCCCAATCCAAAAATATCGCAGGCTAGCGATGACATCGAGCGTTGAATATGGTCTGGATAAGTTAATTAATGTCTAATTAATAATTTAGATAACATTTCAGGCCTAAAGAAAGACCTGCAATAGGCAGATTTAGCTCTTGCATAACGTATCTTTAATAAACAAATAATATATACATGTAATTATAAGCTTTCATCTAAAAAAAGTTCAAAAGCATTAAAAATTAGTGTAAATTAAATACAAGCTAATTAAGCTTTCATCTAAAAAAAGGTCACAAGCATTGAAAATTATCCTACAGTGTAAATTTAATACATAAGCTTTCATCTTAAAAAAAAAAGTTCACCAGCATTAAAAATTATTGTGAAAATCAAGCCAGTCAGAGAGAGAGAGAAATGGTGTTTAACGTCCACTCGACACAAACTAGGTCATTTCGGGACTAACATATAGTTTAATTTTATTTCAATAATCACTTGCGCGTAGGGGTCTTTAGCAGTGGGAGGAAACCGGAGGACCCCGAGAAAACCTATGACCCTACTCCTTGTCACGTACAACCGGGGATTCAAAACCACGCGAGTTGACTCAATGACAGGCCTTATGGTACAGTGCGCACGTGCTAACCATTCGGCCATCCAAACAACCCCCCAGCCAGTCACAGACATGTCAGAAACAAAATCAGGTTTTGTCAGGCCGAATTCCTGTTATGTCTTTCATTTTGTCAGGCACTGATTTTTTTTTAAATCATATTTATATTGATATTAATATTACGTCATACTAAACTTACGCTGTCTGTCTACAATTAGAACAGACACTAAGCTAGCTGACCGACATTTTAATTTCTAAATCGACAAATTTAGTTGAACACACTAAGTATAGTTTGAAAATTTTGAGAAGTATTTAGTCCGATTCCAATTAACTAAATAAAAAATGTTTATTTAGTCTTTGTGTGTATGACAGATATTACAAAATGGTATATTAATTTCTGGATATGGCGGCCATTCAGGTCCGAGATTTATTCTCTAAGTACATAGTACTATGTACATGTATGCTGAATGATATTGGAGTGTGACGCAAAATGTACCAAATCCAATGTACAACCGGGCGTGTCAAAACACATACGACAGGCTGTGAGCTAGGCTTAAGTAAACCTGAAACATAATCTAGTAAATTTCAATTTTACTTACAGATTCAAAATTATCCTGGATAAAATTGGCGCTGAGTTGTCTTAAATCGGAACAATCACATTGAACGGCTAACGTGTGTGACTGTAAACACGTCTCGTTCTTAATCAGAGAAGAGATAAAATCACAGCACAGATTCACCAACTCATCTAACTGGAAAGTAAAGGCTACTGGCAAGATCATCCAGACAGTATCTTCAGTCACTGATATAGTTGATGTGTAACAAAATTCAATTATCATTTGAACTGCCTCCCCACTCACGTTCCTTAACACCAATTCTTTTACCCCGAAATCCCAACTCGTGTCCAGAATATTTTGAAAGTAAGGCGAGCATGCTGAAAGGACTAATCGATGTACGGGAATTCTGTAGTCATTGATGATAAGAATGACGTCGCAAAGTTGCCGATCGCATCGCAATCTATTTATAGAACTAATCAAAGAGTCTGCATGATTGGCTGATGTATAGTGTAATGATTCATCCATTTCATTTGATCTGAAAAATACAATAAGAATTTTTAAGTACTGGTACTGTACAGAAGTTAGGTTGCCAGGCAACGGAACATAAGCCCACAGCTGCTAAGCGGTCCGAGCAGTACATGTTTTCACACTTATTACAGTATAAACAAGGGCCATGTAATTATTGATAATTGTTCAAAATCAATAAGAAATGCCATAAAATGAAATTAGGGTTTGATGGACTACTGTTCTACATCAACTGTGCTAATGAAGATGGGCATACTCCATGCAGTGTACTATACTATGAGTGAAATTTTTTCCTGGAGGGCAGCGCTAAGACCCACTCTAATATCTAATTCCAACTGGCAATGGAATGTTCACGTGCATGCCAGTGTGTACACAGGACCTCGGTTTTTCGTCTCATTCGACGACTAGACGGCACCACTGACAAGGGGAAACCACGCCAGAAAATCGTGATAAACTTTCTCAACCAACACGGGGAGTGAACCTGTGTCCTCCAGGCTAGTGAACCAGCGTCTTACCCACCGTGGCCCCCTTTAAAAATCAATAAGCTTTTCAGCTATAAACACTGCTCACTTAGGGCATTCACTGTATAAATTGCAGACGATAAATTTAACAGCTGGAGTGCGCCAAGATTTTATCATGGTGATACGAATGATAACTTTGAACGGCCGAACAATCAGGGGTGATGACATTTCAATATGTGCATATAAAAGATATTGTGCTATTCATTGTTTAGATGGACATTTCAATCACAGAGATCAAGAGATGAAGAGAGAGAGAGAGAGAGATGAGGTTTAATATCCACAACACAAATAAGGTAATTTCCGGACTAACATATGGTTCAATTTTATTTCAATAATTCGCTTGTGCATTGGGGTCTTTAGCAGTGGGAAGAAACCGTGGAAAACCCACGAGGTTGGACAGGCAACCCTTTTCCTTGTCATGTACAACCGAGGAATTGAAACCCCCCCCAGCTGACTCAGTGACAGATCTTATGATACAATGCGCAGGGCTAACCATTTGGCCATCCACCCTCCTTTAACAAACATGTAGATTCCCCTAATTATTAAAAATGAAATGAAATGAAATGGGGTTTAACGTCCTACTGTTCTGCTCCTATACTGGGCTAATGAAGACGGGCATACGCCACACAGTGTGCTATGAGGGAAATTTTGCCCAGGCAGCGGCACTATCGCCTACTCTTATATTGAATTCCAACTGCCAAGGGATCTTTTACGTGCATTCCAATGTATACACGGGACCTCGGGTTTTCGAATCCAAGTACTGACCTACATAGACTGATATTCCTGTATGTATATAATAACCTGATTTACATTCAATCGTTTCTGTTTTTACTCTAATTTCTAATGAATTATGGCAGTCTTTGGCATCTGGTTATCCAGGGGGATATGTCTAGCTGTGTTCATAGAGTCGCTTCGTTACAAATTGGGCTCGAATGCAATCTGGCATGTGATTCGTGTGCCAATTTTGAATTTTTTATTTTGTCTTAAATATTGGATATCAGAAGCCCATCTTTTTACGGTCAGATAACAACATCAATGTTAATTTAAATTGACCTATAAGTCATGTTTGCAATGTCGAAGACTGTGGATGATATAAAGTTACAGACTTGCCTCTTTTAATATTTTGGGGGTTGGATGGCCGAATGGTTAGCATGTGCACGCTGTATCATATGGTCTTTCATTGATTCAACTGGCGTGGTTTCGAATCCCTGGTTGTACGTGACAAGGTAGGGTCGTTTGTCCTACCTCGTGGGTTTTCTCTGGGTCCTCCAGTTTCTTCCCACTGCTAAAGACACCTACGAGCAAGTGAATTATTGAAATGAATTTGAACCATGTGTTGGTCCCGAAATGACCTAGTTTGTGTTGAGTGGACATTATAAAACCCCATTTAATTTTACAAAACGTTACTTTACAAAGTAAATGGCATGAGCCTTTTTAATTCAATTGCTAAACAATTCAATAATAAGCCTATATATTAGGAGTTTCATTTTGAAATAGTAAAATTAATATTTTACAAAATAGTACATGTAGTTAGTTATTCATTAGGTTAGACCTACATCATATTTCATGACAATCTACATGTATAAGAGATGATTTATTTTTAACTGAGTATATAGAGCACACAGATATTATTATCCTCTGACTGGGTGGCCATAATCCAATTAATAACCACCAAGCCAGCTACCTAGTATAATAATAAGTACATGTACATACAGTGTAATGCCTCCACTACTAGTAGTATATACTATATAATTATACTATAATAGAGCTATGTCGTTAGCTGCACAAACAAGGATTGATGTAGGGACTTTTCTCTCGATGAAATCGGGTTTATTCTGAGTAAAAGTTGTGAGAAAATGTCTTTAAAACGTCACCAAAACGGTCAGAACACTCGACAATAACAACATATTTTCAAAGGACCCCACCCTTCTCGTGTATTTAGGTTGCGGGAAGGGGGAGGGACCCGATTTCCCCTTTGAAGAGGAGCTTCCTCGTCGCAGTACTCAATTCTGTCCACTCAAATCTGATCTTTTCTTAAAATTTACAATTCGTTTGATACTTACGATGTTGGTTGAGCCCTCAAATATGGCGATCTTATAAGCTCTCGGGAGGGTGTCTTCGGAACTCAACCGTAAGTGGGCGAGGAGGATATCCCGTTTGTGTTCTACGTAATCAAACATTGTGTTGTGGATACTAGAGGCGTCTGGTTAATTTGACTTGATACCGAAATATCATCCAGTCTTTTCAAAAGGGAGATAAATCCATTTTTGCGACAATGCACGCGAATCTTGGTATATAAATTCGACTGAATTTTAACTTCATATAAATTTTATTACTGACATAATTTTTAGTTTTGATATATTCTCTACAATCAAACCGAAGGCGATTTTTAATAACTATCAGCCAGATTTATATAGAATATGCATGGAATAAAAAAAAATACAATGTATTAATTAAATTTGCCGATAGAATCAGGCAATCGGTTTCACAGAGAATTACGAGTCCTCTAATATCTCTGTAAAAGATGACTGCCTTTAACACGTGCCGTCACAGCACGCGGCGTCGATCATTGGCTAAATGGCGCGTGCATTGTTTACATAAGACGTTACTGCTTCGGGCAGAATGCTGCCTTTTAGTCATTTTAATACCCATTTACACTAAATTGGAAATAATTTTTACCTACAAATACGTCAAACGTCTTTATTTATTTTTCTAATACATCAAAAAAATGTTTTAGAATATTTATTTAAGTCGCATTGATGTCATCCTTATCAATGATTGTAGCGACCTAGCGATTATTCACTTCTGATCAGTGTGAGAATCAGGGACTAAGAGGAAATATTGTTCAAACGTTAATGTCGATTAGTCTTTGCTATGCGGCATGTTTTTAATGTTTAAACAATACTTTTGTTGTAGTGTCAATATAATAAATAATTTTATCGACCACTGACAATTTTATTCCTGTGAGTGGTTTTGTGGTCATAATAGGCCCCAAGTATCGAAATATACACAATTATACCTCATACCTTATAAATCATGGTTGCATTCAGATTTCTATATAGTATTTTAAAAAACGTTCCATATAAAGATATATATATTTTAATATATTCACTGTGCGTTATTGGACCATTGTTGTAATACACAATCGATGGCTGTGTATTATCATTATATTTAACACCTTGAAACATTGTGTATTACACACAGTGTATTATAAGGTGGGATCATTATATATAGTAAATATTGCCGTCATTCAGATGCGTGCGTATACATAATATTCACGGTGCGTTATTGGACAAATATTGTTGTAATTCGCAGAGGACTGGTACGTATTTAAAACGTTTGTAAACATTGTGTTTACAAATGGGGGTTAAATACTGCATTAGATAAGATAAGATAAGATTTTATTGTATCACTGCATCCACCAAGGACAGCATAAACAGTTTAAACAAAAGTTGATCATACATTTGTGTTGTCTGTCGAACGTTCTTTTACATAAATTTTTATTAGTTCGTGTTCAAATAAATATTGTTTGTAAAATTATGTTAGGTGAAATGAAATGAAATGGGGTTTAACGTCCTACGCCATACAGTGTGCTATGAGGGAAATTTTGCCCGGGCAGCGGCGCTACGACCTACTCTTATATCGAATTCTAACTGCCAAGGGATCTTTTACTTGCACGTCAATGTGTACACGGGACCTCGGTTTTTCGTCAAAAATTATGTTGGGAATGATCGAGAGAATTAAATCCTGGAAAACACCCTTAGATTAAATCTTTATTAATTCGCAAGTTATTTTATTCTTCTCTTTTGTTTTCTTTTTTTTGCAGAGAAAGGGTAAAAAGACCCCAATTAAAAAGTCTTAATTTTAAAACCGTTTCCCGTCTTACTTATAGTTTATGGTTGTTTATTTGGATATTACGTATAATGGTAGGCTGCTGTAGCTTATGCCTATAAAATGTTCAATTCGCAAACTGTTTTAAACCTCTGTTGTATAATTTACAGGCCATTGTGTAAAATAAACAAAATTGTCTAACTAAAATATTTAAAAAAAAAAAAGGTTTCATGGGTTACTTTCATGGATATTTTGTTTTTGTTTACTTTATAAAATGTTAATATTATAAAAACAACTTGAGAAATAACTTGAGAATGAATGAATATAGAGCACATTGGATCTAATCTAATGTTCTTTTTTTTCTTCATTTGATTCGTTCGACCTTTCCATAAATGTAATTTTACAAACAGTATTGTATTTTATTTTGACACGAAATAATTCAATTTGGCAAGTTAATCATAACATTCCTGCAATAACATATATTCTGTTATCCAGACCATCTAACATAACGTGCAGGTTTCCATTATGCTAATGGTCTTGATAGTCTCGACTACAAGTATTCTCAGAAACCCCTTCAGCTAATGAATTACTCGATGATGTCATTTTCAGCGGGACCAGTCAGTTACAATATTGTAAAATATTCGACTAAAATTAAATTCCCTTCACCCAGAGCCAGTCTTGTAACATTTGTCTCTTTATATATCAAACAAGTAGCGCAAAGGAATATTTTTTCAAATGATTTCTAAAAATTCTACTTAATGCACACATCTGTATTTCTTAGAAATGACTGGCCCTTAGCCGGCGCGTGCACGCTTCGAGTTATGACAACAACTTGCAGGCGATTAATGTCAAAAATTATGGTTTGGTGGAATTCTGACGTCTAAATTAAATTCCTTGATAGCAGACAGGTAAATATGTGATGTATTTCTAAATGAATTTATTTTTTATGTGACCTGACCAGATTTCATTTCCAAATTTTAGAATTCATGGATCAAACGGTAGTCTGCACTTAACTAATCGAATTCGATCAAGCGTGGAAATTGAGTCCGATTTGACGACTTCCACATAGTAGCAGATTACTGTATTTACATAATATTTTCTGTTGAATTACTTGCCAGAGGGAAATTTTTTTGGCAAATATTTAAGAATATGATCAGAATAGAATTACTAGTCTGAAATAAATGTGTAACTTGTTTAAATTACGGAGTAATTTGTAGTGGAACTTGCAATTTTTGACATTTTTGGTAGAAAATTAAATGGTCAGTTCAATTTTATGTGCATTCAATGCCAAAGTGGTATCTTATTTGGAAATTATTTTCTTGTGAACACAATACCCTATAAGATTAATTTAGTTTACAATAAGGTGATAACTTGTTAATTAATTCCCCTATCCACACACCACTTATACCAAACTATCACCACAGTAGGGTACCATTATCTATAATATAATGAGGGAGGGGGGGGTGGCCAAATGTTTAGCGTGTGTGCACTGTATCATAAGATCTGTCATTGAGTTAACTGGTGGGGTTTCGATTCCCCGGTTGTACATGTAGGTCGTGACAAGGAGTAGGGTCGTCTGTCCAACCTTGTGGGTTTTCTCCGGGTCCTCCGTTTTCCTCCCACTGCTAAAGACCCCTACGCGCAAGTGAATTATTAAAATAATTTTGAACCATATGTTAGTCCCGAAATGACCCTTAGTTTGTGTCGAATGGATGTTAAACCCCATTTCTCTCTCTCTGTTTATAATGAATAATGGATTGGCACACCTGTGTTATAATTATATTATCTGACTAATTCACCAACAATTCATCTTGGTTGAATATTATTCCAAGATAGTTTGTGGAGGGGGCGGGGGTGGATTGGTTAACTCGTGCGCTTTGGATAAGAAAGTCTGTCATTGAGTCAAGTGGGTTTTCTCCAGGTCCTCTGGTTTCCTCCCAGTGCTAAAGAGTAAAGAACACTACACGCTAGCAAATTATTGAAATATAATTGAACTATATGTTAGGCCTGAAATGACTACAGTGGACCTGGACAAGTGGACATTAAACCCCATTTCTCTTGAAATGAAGAAGTTCATTTGTTACTAAATCTTGTGAGCACGTTATGTTGAGCGTAGATTTCAACTTGCAGACAGATTAAGTGTGCCGACCTGTACCTACTTCAAATTCACCGCTGTAATATTGTTCCAAAATGACGTGTCTTCGTTTGTACGGCAGAAAATGAAAGCAAAACATCTGAAATAAGAATAATTTGTGATGAAAGTGTGCCGACCTGTACCTGCATCAAATCCACAATATTCCTCTGATAGTATATGTCTTCGTGTCCATTTCCAGGTGTCAAAGACTAGGGATTTAGTACCTTTAATAAAACAAAATCATAATGCCAATGCTAGTTAACCTCTCACCTTGGATTTCATATGATTTGAAACAGGAATGACAATTCTGTTGTCCCAAAACAAAATGACTGCTGGATTATTAATCCTTTAGTGACATTTAGCGATTGGAGACATAACAGAACTAACACGGTTATATGGGAAAACAATCACTGGTTTATTATACACAAGCAAGACATTTTGATAAGTATCCTCTTATCGTTTTCAAGCAATACGGGGGTCACAGTGGGTAAGACGCTGGCTCGCTAGCCTGGAGGTCGGGTGTTCGATCCCTGCATTGGCCGAGAAAGTTCATCCAGATTTTCCGGCGTGGTTCCCTCTTGTCAGTGATGCAGGACGGAGGGCCTGACAAGGACAGCTGTCTAGTCATTCGGATGAGACAAAAAACCGAGATCCCGTGTACACATTGGCATGCACGTAAAAGATCCCTTTACAGTTGGAATTCGATATAAGAGTAGGCCGTAGTGCCACTGTCCGGGCAAAATTTCCCTCATAGCACACTGTATTGCGTATGCCCGTCTTCATTAGCCCAGTTCGTAGGAAAACAGTAGGACGTCAAACCCCATTTCATTTCATTTCAAGCAATACTATATAGTAAACTGGGAGGTCTATGTATATATAAATGTACAATATGAAGCCATACTTAATTAATTAATAATAACTATTAGGGGAGTTCATAATTATAGTTAATCATATTTACCAACAAAGAACTTAGATACACTACAAGTACATAAAAATATAGATAAACATGAAACCATTTGTGCATTATGGATAGAAGAGTTATTACAGAGGTGTTAACACCTTACAACTAAGAAAACACCACTCGATTGATACAGATTTTGATTTAGGCCTACATGAAACCATAATGTGTCCCACTAACAGCATCATCGAATTGATCAACATGTACTTGGACTCAACCTATTTCACATGGGGCGACGACTTGTACCAGCAAATTCATGGATTACCAATGGGAAGCCCCCTCTCCCCGACAATGTCTGAAATTTTCCTCACTGAATTTGAAGAATGCGCCCTAAGCACATCCCCCATAATTCCTTTAGGTTTGGCTTCGCAAGGTTAACAATACCTTTGTTGTTTTGGAAGAACAGGATGAACCCATGGCCCTGATCACCTAAACAACCAACTTCCCAGGATCAAATTTACCGAACAGTGGCGCAACAGCCTACTCTTATATCAATTCCTAACTGACAATGGATCTTTTTTATCCTATCCAAACAACTAGACAGCTGTCCTTGCAAGGCCCTTGGTCTTGCATGACTGACAAGAAGGAATCAACCCAGAAAAACCTGATGTACTTTTTCGACCAATGCAGGGGTCAAACATGGGACCTCAAGGTCAGCAAGCCAACGTCTTACTCACTGAACCACCGTGGGCTCATGGTAAAGTAACACAATGAGACTAAGTTTAAGAGAAAAACTAATTTCTTCGTGGTCAGTTCGATGTCTTCAGTTGTCTAAAGTAAAAAAATCTTTTTTGGGGAAATTAGTTCTTTTAAAGATGTATTATGTAAGATTTAGATAAAGAGCTGTCCGTTCTTTCTAAATTGGTTCAAAAATAGATAATGTAAAATGAATATATTGAAAATTTCATTCAAATTATTTATTCTGGGCGAAGTTATCTAACATCCGATGATCTAGAGGGTTGATTATGGGCTTGTCAATCATGCTGATATTAAATGTCTAAATAATAGTTCATAAATATAACATTTAAAATCAAAATAAAGACCTGCAATAGGCAAAAAATATAATGAAATGAAATGGGGTTTAACGACCTACTGTCCTGCTCCGAACTGGGCTAATGAAGACGGGCATACAGCATACAGTGTGCTATGAGGGGAAATTTTGCCCAGACAGCGACACTATGGCCTACTACTATATCGAATTCAAACTGTCAAGGGATCTTTTATGTGCAAACCAATGTGTACACGGGCCTTAGTTTTTTGCCCTATCCGAATGACTAGACAGCTGCACTTGTCAGGCCCTCCGCCCTGCATCACTGACAAGGCAGATTTAGCTCTTACATAATGCATCTTCAAGCAAAATGGAATAACATTCATTATTCTTCATTGAACTCTAGCCATCTTTCTATTTAGACTGACTTAACAAAGATTAGAGAATAATGCATTGGCTGATTGAGTTATGAATAAAACCAATATTGGGCTGGCTGAGAGAACTATGCAATAAAACTTATATTGCGCTGGCTGAGGGAGTTATAAAAATGCCATTATTGTGCTGTCTGTCCTAGTTAAGAATAAAGCCATTATTCTCAATTATCTATTGATGATTGATGTAAATTTAGGTAGAGGGTGTACCATTATCTAAATTACATTGAGCTTCATGTAATATTATATGTCAGAATTGATAAAGCTTCATAAAACCCATATTATACTGCCATATATTCCGGATTATATATATATATATATATATGTAAATAGAGAGAAATAGGGTTTAACATCCACTTGATACAGACTTGGTCATTTCGGGACTAACACATTATTCAATTTTATTTCAATTTATTGGCTTGCTCACCCAATCCCCCTATATGTAAACATTATCCAATGTTATTGTTTATGATGTAATATTGATACAGGAACAGAGTTTAATGTCACAGCGAAACAATATTTTGCTCATTTTGTTCAGGTCTAAATATTAAAGCCAACTGCAGATTTTGTCAAGGATGTTAAGAGGGATGGGGCATGTGATTATTGATGAGATTTTGAGACTAACATGGTTATTTTTGTCCGGTGGCGGACTAACCAAGAGGATCCAGGTTTTAGGTATAAATATTATGGCCAACTGCAGATTTCATCAAGGTTGCGAGATGTAAAGAGAGTTGGGGCACATGATTGTTGACAAGATTGTGGGTTAGGGTTAGGGTTAGCGCTAGCCCTGTTTACATTTTGTGACCTAACCAGGATCCTGCTTCAATCTCATTATTATTGGCCAAAAAAATTTCAGGGTTTTCTACATGTCTGTCTTCCATAGCCCAGGTTCCTCCTTGTCAGTGGTGCAGGACAGAGGGCCTGGCAAGGGATGACGTATAGTCTTTCGGATGGGACAAAAACGAGGTCCTGTGTACACTTTGGTGTGCACAAAAAGATCCCTTGGCGGTTGGAATTCCATATAAGAGTAGGTTGTAGCGCTGCTGTCCGGGTAAATTTTCCAACATAGCACACTGTATGCCATTAGTCCAGTCGGAGCAGAACAGTAGGACATTAAACCTCATTTCATTGTCTATTTCCATTCACTTTCAATTTATCTACTTAAGACGTAATGCACTTTACTTCACACTTTTTTCTCTTGCAGATGAATAAACACATGCCTGTTTCCATGACAATGATGATTCCAATGATTCCTGCTGGTCTTTGACTACAGTGCCTGAAAGACTGACTCGTCAGCAGCAGCAGCAGCAGCACCATGGCAGAATATGGATGGGGTTTATCAGAAAAGCTGATCCGAAAGGCTCGAGATGAATTGAACGAAATTCCTGATCGAAGAGTTGTTGCTATTGAAGAAATCCGTGAACAGATGGAAACAAGACCCGACATAAGTGAGTATATTATTTCTATGAATAAACAGAATCTCATACTCATCTGTATTGGATCAGGAACTTGTCACCTAGTGCTGCTCTTCTTGTTCTTAGGGGCCCAAGGATCTGTTATGTGCAATTGACATGAAACTAGGAATATTTGTTCCTTGAACAATTGTGCACTGATTGACAGATTTCTTAGTACAGTGGCACTGCGCATAGAGCCTTTAGCGTTAGAATGAGACCCACAAATTTGGGCAGACGCCTCTACTTCTTTTCTCCTTTAGGAAGCATTTGATAATATTGGTTCATTGTTCAGTGCTGTCTGAGTTTAAAGGAGCTAAATCGCTGACATTTTGGATCTAGAAATTGACACAAATGGGTCGCAACGTATATAATAATGTAATGTGAATGTATATAACCTGATTTACATTCAATCGTTTCTGTTTTTACTGCAATTTCTAATCAGTTATGTTCGGTGAAATACGCCAGAAGTCTCAATCCAATGGCAATCTCTAGTGTCTGGTTATTCCACTCTATACAGATAGTATTTATTGCGCATGCTCTCCAGATATGACGTCACCGTTTGTCATGACTTGTGGAATATATCTAGCCTCTTTCTACGAGTACCTTGTTAAAAATGGCGCTGAAATGCACCATGGTACACGATTCATGTACCGATGGTAAAATGTTTATTTTGTCTTAATTATTGGATATCAGAAGCCCATCTTTTCCCCGTAAAATCACAAACATCAATGTTGATTTAAATTGACAAATAATTTGTGTTTTCAATGTTGAAGATTTTGGATGATATTGAGTTAGAGACTTAGCTACTTTAAATTTCACTCATGGCATTCTGCAATGCATATACATGTACCTACATGTATCTTCATTAGCTCGATTTCATATTCAAAAACTTGTCAATCTTTTTAGTCCCAAAATGACCTAGTTTGTGTCCAGTGGACGTTAAACCCCATTCCCCTCTCTCTCTATTTAAAACATATATTTTTTCAGACTTTTTAAGAAGTGACGACGTTTTCATGCTGAGATTTTTACGAGCCAGGAAATTTAACACAGAAGAAACCTTCAAGTTATTTGGCCGATATTTTGAATATCGACAAAGCAATAAAAACTTATTCAAAAAATTTCAAGCCTCTGAAAAGGGTGTGAAGGAGGCTCTGAATGATGGTCTTCCTGGTGTTCTGCCAAATACTGATTATAGAGGCCGAAAAATTTTACTGCTGTATGCAGCCAACTGGGACAATTCAAGATACGGTTTGGCGGGCATTTATAGAGCACTGCTGCTAACGCTGGAGAAATTGATAGACGAGGAAGAGAACCAGATCAATGGAATAACAGTTGTCGTAGATTGGAGTCAATTCACGTTTAAACAATCAACATGGCTGAATCCTAAAGTGTTAAAATTAATGATAGAAGGACTGCAGGTGTGTGGTGTCAATAAAAATAAATTGATGTTCTGTTCTTTGCGAATACCTGTTAAAATTTTTCTTCCTATATCTTTGAGAAAAACAGACTAATTTAAAAACAAATGGTGCTTGGTTGCGCTCTTCAAAATCTGTTAAAACATCTTTCATGTGATTCAAGTGAGTTCACAAATCATTCTCAGACTTAAGCTAAGAATTTACTGAACATTCAATCACTGTTTATGGAAAATATCTTTGATCCAGAAACACAAAAACTTTGCACATAGTTTCTTATTGATGTATTTGATACATTATAACAACAGAAGTTTTATAAAGGGCTATATTTTAGTTCAATTAAGGCAGACAATTTTGATTAAATACTTAAATTAAATCTGAGAATGTTTTGTGAACTCGGGGCCAGGTTTTATTGGTTTTTATTTTAAAAAAATATTTTTATTTCTCTTGAAAATGGATTGGGGATTAGACTACTGTCTAAACCATGGTAAATTTTAAACAGATTTCTACGATTATGAACAAGCTACTTAACTTTGGTTATTATAAATTTACCTTTGTTTTTTAAATCAACTCCTGTTCAATAAAATCAATTGCACAATTAAATATCCCAACGAATAAAAAAACTTCTGTCTTGGCAAATTTGACTATTTACTTGTAATTTCGACTGAGTGGAAGACAACAATGCTTTCGTCACATGTTGGCAAAACCAATGCAGCTGTTGTGGGGGTGGTTTAATCTTGAGAGATAGTTTGACAACCACGAGTTCAATGACAACAAACTGCGATCATTATGATCATTTGAGTTTAGGCAATGAAAAATATGAACTGAAGGCAATTACATAGGAGATTTATATTGAAACCATTGTTATAAATAATTTAACAAGGATCATGAAGCTCACCTCCGAAGTCCTCGAGTGTATTGTTAATTTGATAGCGTTCTTTCGATCAAATAATAACCGCTTCAAATAATTAAAACAAAATATTTCAAAAGGTGAAGTTATAAAATTTGCAGAGATTTTACTAGAATGTAAAAGACGGTAACAAAATAAAAGAATATGGACAGTTATGTGTGTGAATGCTCAAACTCAATGCCGAGCCGAGACTTACAGCTTATTCTTAAACTAAACTTGAATTGTCTTAAAATTATCGAAAACTGTTTTGATTTGGTATGCTTTCAACCCTTATATAAAATGACATCTCCCGAAGAGTGACGTAATCAGCTTCCATATTGGTATTTTTCTGTGTCAAAAGTTTGTGGGATTTCAATTTTTCAAGAGAACTTTTTTATTCGTTGGGATAATTAGTTGTGCAATGGATTTTATTTAACAGGAGTTGATTTCAAACACACAGGTAAGTTTATAATAACCAAAGATAAGTAATCTGTTTAAAATTTATGATGGTTCAGACAGTAGGTCTACACGGACCCCTCCCCATTTTCTGTTCTTGAGGAAAACCTGTAAATAGATTTGTTTAAAAACCAAGAGTACTTGGTTGTGCTGTTCAAAAACTTAAATCTGCCTATTGCAGATCTTTCATTAGGCCTGAAATGTTATATAAATTATTAATTAGACATTAATTAACTTATCCAGACCATAATCAACTCTCGGTGCCATTGCTAGCCTGCGTTATTTAGCGGATTGGAATACATTTTGTGATGGATAATTTAACGTAAAAATGGATAATCGAGACTTGGTTTATTATTGCACCAAAGTTAGTAATGACACTAATGATGTTCGAGGCTAGCCTAAGATTGAATTGCAAATAATTTGAAATTTTCAGCATATTCTGTTTTCATTATCTTTTTTTTAACTATTATAACAAGAACTGTCAGCTCTTTATCTAATCTTACCTAATGCCCCTTTAAAGTCATGATTGTCCATTTTCTCATCTAAACAAAATAATTAGAAATCTTGTGAAAGCTGTTAATTTATTTTTGATTTTTCTAGGATTGTTTTCCAGCAAGATTTGCAGCCATCCATTTTGTGAATCAGCCGTGGTATATTGAAGCCATCTTTAAAATGTTGCGTCCATTTTTAAAGGAGAAAAATCGAAATAAGGTAATTTGTAGTTTGAACATTCGGTCATGGTCTTATTCTTTTATCTTTTATGCGTACTAAATTGTAATGAAAGATCAGGCCCCAAGTTCACAAAGCATTGTCAGACTTAAGTTACTCAACTTTCAATCACTGTTTATGAGAAATGTCTTATCGATTTATTTGATACATTAAAACAACAACAGTTTTATAAAGGGCTATATTTTAGTTACAATAAGGCGAACAGTTTTGAGTAAATTCTTAACTTAAGTCTGAGAATGCTTTGTGAACTTGATCTTAACTGTGGCTTCCAACATATGATTATGCAGATTATTTAATCCATTAATTTGGCTATTGACAAGGCATAGGGAAGCCTGTTAAAGCTCATGGGTTTTCTCTGGGTCCGGCAGTTTCCTCCCACTGCCAGAACCCCTACGCGAAAGTGAATTATTGAAACAAAGTTGAACTATATATTAGTCCTGAAATGACCTAGTTTGTGTCGAGTGGGCGCTAGGAAGAAAGGTATAGATAATAAAAACATCCAGAAAAAACCCAGGTACGATTGTACTATGGACCAGGGACTGACCATGTTGTTGGATGAAATTCAAAAATCTAATGCAGCATGTTGATGCAGAATTGTTCAAATACGACTCATGCCAATTTTCATGTCGCTCAGACTTGAATTGATGGGCCCTTAGGCTTTTTCAAAGAGAGTCGGCCAAAGAAAAACAACAAGAAGATGAGTAGCAGTTGGTGACAAGTTCCTGGTCCAAAAAGATACGTTTTCAAAAAATATACATCCCTGCCTGCCATCCTATGTAACTAATATTTATTCTTATTTATAGATCATAATGCATGGCATAAACCTAACAACGTTACATCAACATATTAGCAAAGAAGTTTTACCAGCTGAACTGGGTGGCATGCAACCTCCATATAATAACCAATCGTGGGCCAGACAGCTTATAGGGGATGAATCTTTTAGTTTTGGTGATCAACATATATATTGGCCTAGTAATACTCAACTTAAGTAAGTACATATATTCTGGCCTAGTAATACTCAAGTAAGTACATATATTTAGGGCTAGTGATACTTGAGTAAGTACATTTATTCTGGCCTAATAATACTCGACTTAAGTACATACATTTTGGCCTAATAATACTCAACTTGAGTACATACATTTTGGCATAGTCATACTCAACTTAAGTAAGAACATGTATACTGTCTTAGTAATACTCAACATAAGTAAGTACCAATATTCTAGCCTAGTAATACTCAACTTTAGTACATACATACTTCCCTAGTAATGCTCAGCTTAAGTACATATACTATTCAAAAAAAGTAGGGGATATTTGATTTTTAAGTGTTATTAAAGTCACCTAATGAAACTGACGAAGAAACAAATAACAAAATGAAATGAAGTTCACATTCATCGATTTATTCCAAATGATCGTTAGACTAAGTAAGGCACAGACTGACCATTATAAGGGTAATGGTCTGATGACGTTAACGTCTTGGAAGCGCTCGTTTCGACGACGCCACACCCTCCTACGTCTGTCCAAAAAATCAACAGTGAACCTCGACTCATCTGAAAACATCACATTGCTCCAGCGTCGATTATCCCAGTGTTGACGATCCCTACACCAACGACGTCTTGCCTGAATGTGATGATCTCTCAAACAAGGGATCACGCGAGGACGTCGGGCGCGAAGGTGACCCCTACGCAGTCGATTCCGAATCGTCTGGCCACTCACTCTCACACCAGTGTCTGTTTGAAGACGAGCGCTGATCTGATTTGCTGTGATGACACGATTTCTCAAGGCCAAGGTACGGATAAATCGATCCTGGGCTTGAGTTGTCGCCCTTGGTCGACCTGAGCGTGGTCTGTCCTGTACAGATTGTGTATCACGGTATCTGGACCATAGCCTGCTTATGACAGACTGAGAAACATTCATCGTCCGCGCCACAACCGCCTGTGTTGTGCCGATCTGTAGCATGCCAAGGGCACGTAACCTTTCATTTTGGGTAAGCCGACGCATATCAAAATTTGTTTTCTGGTCACTAAAACAATTAAACTGATGTTTCCACCCTGGAATTCAATGCCACAATGACTGTAACATTCAAAGTCAGAGTCGTGCAAATCTTGGGTTGGACCCCCATGATGATCCCAAGCATCACCTGCATTCCATGCGGTAGCTATTGGTGCGTTTGGGCGTCACATGTAACTGGAAATGTTTCTTCTGTTAGGTTCTATAGTGACTTTTTTCGTAGTCATTTGCATATTTTAGTATTATGCCCCCAAAATCAAATATCCCCTACTTTTTTTGAATAGTATATATACTGTCCTAGTAATACACAGCTTCAGTACATATATACTTGCCTAGTAATACTCAATTTCTGTACATATATACTAACCTACAATGTAGTAATACTTAACTGTCCTAGTAACACACATGTATACATGCAGGCCTACTTCCCTAGTAATAGAAGAGAAATTTACAATGAAGACAAATACAGTTATTTTATGTATGGTCATATGTGCAATCCTACATAAAAGAATTTTGTCCAGACAAAATGCAACGGTTCTTTTACATGCACGCCAACTTGTACATGAATGGACCTAGGTTTTTCATCCCATTTGAAAGATTAGACAACGCTTTGGAACCAGACTAATTCTTCACAACCACTGTCCTTTCCACGACTCAAATATTTTTTAAACAATAGTTAGTTATTTTATTAACAATTTTATTATAACAATGCTTTAGACCTAATAATCATTAAAAGGGTGTTGAATGGTTTACCCGTTAACTGCGTAGGGCGTTAGATAACGTCCTGGACAACTGCCACTCACCGTGTGTAGGACGTAATATAACGCCCTGGAGGTATTTTCCCCAACCTATTCTACGAATATACGATTGCAGCATGTGTAGGACGTTATATTACGTCTGGTCGAGGAAATCTAATTGAAGGGAGTCAACTCTATTTACCGTTAGTTTTAATATGGTTTAAGACTACTATAGTTTGTATTCAGGAATACAAAGGTCCAAAAATGACGTTTTTCGTCAAATTAATTACACAATAGGGGGTAGTTAACGTTTTAAAAACTACACAGTTAAGGGGTTAATGCATGTGCTTTAGATCATAAGGTCTGTCATTGAGTCAAGTGACGTTTCAAATCCCCGCTTGTATGTCACAAGGGGTAGGGTCACTGCTTATATATATATAAAGACCCCTATGAGCTAGGTTACTTCCACTGCTAAAGACCCCTATTAGCTTATTATCGAAATAAAATTGAACCATAGGTTAGTCCCGAAATAACCTAGTTAAAACCCATTTCTCTCCCTCTAATAAACATTACAGGCAATTATTTGTATTTCAGAACACGCTCAGAAACCTTCCCATCAGACTCATTTTCGGCTTCCAGTAAAGAAAAAGAAGAGAGGAACGAAAGAACGTTTTTAGATGAAGAGTTTTTCTTGATAGACTGACAGAAAGAATGAATGAATGTGTTAATTTCTTTGGGTAAATATAATAGTGTATTTGTGTATGATGGCAAGAAAAGTGCTCAGTTTGTCTGAAAAAATCCCAACATAATTAAAATGAAAATACCACAAATATCAGAGATTATCTTCTTTCTTCTCTCTGTTCTGGACCCCGTTCATTAGCCCAGTCAGTGCAGAACAGTAGCACTTAAACCCCATTTCATATCATTTCTATTCTGGCTACATATTGGTAAAGGTGGGTTGGATGGCCAATGGTTAGCGCTGTACCATAAAGTCTGTCATTGAGTCAACTGGTGTAGTTTTGATTCCCCGGTTGTATGTGACAAGGAGTATGGACGCCTATCCAACCTTGTGGGTTTTCTCTGAGTCCTTCGGGTTTCCTCCAACTGCTGAAGACTCGAATTATTGAAATAAATAATATCTTAGTCCCAAAATGACCTAGTTTGTGTTGAGTGGAGTTAAACCTCATTTCTCACTCTCTCACTATTCTGGATCCCCTGCAAAAGCTCAGGCGGTGTAGAACAGTAGGATGTTAAACCCCATTTTATTTCATTTCTATTCTGGCTACATGTTGTTGAATTTGTTAGTCATATGCAATTGACTGGCAGGAGAACTTAACTGTCAGTCAGTATGGCATGTAATTAGAATTTCAAAGAATTTCACCTTGAATAAACAATAAATACTGATAAATTTTGATCTGATGGTAAAACAATCCTTCATAGATGATCAAATAAAACCATTAACAGAACACAATTTTTATCGGAAACCTATTCTAAAAGCTTGATGTTTTGACAAGTATCCTCTTAATAAAACCAGTGGTTGTTTCCCATAAAAAATTGTGTTTCCCAATTGCCACTAAAAGATTATGTTTACATCAAATAAAACCAGATGGATAGAAGGGAGATAACTCTGCTGTTGTGGTATTTTTCTAATGATTTCATGTTTTTTTGTGTATATATAGTCTAGCTTTTCTACTCTTACCAAAAGTGTATTTCTATGTCTTCGAGCCAGTGGCTTTTGTATATAAACTAGTCAGCGGTATTAGCTGTCGTGCTATCCAGTGGTTCCAAATGTTTTTCTGCTCGTGGACTCGTTGAGACATTTTACAAATCTCAGATGACACCCACTTACATGCACCAGTCAATACTCCTTATCTTGTAATAGTGCAGGAAAACTGTGCAACAAAACATAAACAAGACAAACTATGATTCCAAACCTTTTTCTGCTCATGAACCTCAGAGGACACCCACTTCGTAGTCCATATTCTTTATCTTGTGATAATGCAGGAAAACTGTGCAACAAAACTTAAACAAGACAAACTATGGTTTGTCCATTTAGGCCTTTAAATGTCAACTAGCTTAGTGCCTGTTCTCAAGTGAAGCTAACTGTAGACAGGCAGCCTAAGTTTAGTATGCCACTTACTAGTCAGTACTCTATTTCTTGTAATAATGCAGGAAAACTGTGCAACGCAACATTTCCATGTTACATGTATATGGGATTCTTGAAGCTTCAATTTATTTTATTATAAGTCAGCGAGTGGGGGTACTTCCTCAGAAATTTTTCAAAAATTTTGAGCGAAATACTTGATTTGGAGTTTGTCCTGGATAACAAACACAATCAGCAGAAATTATTAATAGATCCTGTGTACATATTGGCGTAATTTGGAATTATGTTAAGTGTAAGACAAGGGATTGAAAGTATGTCATATTCAATCTGATTAAAACACAGATCCTATTTCGTTTTGTTTTTTTATAGTTCAAAATTTCATTTTATTTGTCTGTACTACACTAGGATCTGGAAGAGTTGTTAGCCAATGAAACCAACTGTTATGGCGACTTCTTGGCGTGCGATGCACTGAACTGTGGGTAAATCACTAGAAACGTCAACGTCATAGGGCCAAAAGCCATTCATACGACCTCTGACACGACCTTTCACTACAACCGGTCAGATCTTCATGTAGTATAGGCCATCGAAAGTATAAAAAAAAATGAAATGAAATATAGATCTGACCCCGAGTTCACAAAGCATTCTCAGATTTAAATTAAGAATTTACTCAAACTTGTTCACCTTATTTTAACTAAAATATAGCCCTTTATAAAACGTTTGTTGTTTTAATGTATCAAATACATCAATAATAAACTATATGCTAAGTTTTGTGTTTATGGATCAAAGATATTTCTCATAAACAGTGATTGAAAGTTGAGTAAATTCTTAACTGAAGTCTTGTGACCTTGGGGCCTGGTCTTTTAATCAGATTATGTAATATTTAGTGTAAGACAAATAGAATTATTTAGTGTAAGACAAATAGAATTATTTAGTGTAAGACAAATAGAATTATGTAATGCTTACTGTAAAACAAGAAATACTGTGGTGCTTATAATTAGTATGTTCATTATTTGCAAATATATTTTTGGGGGTAAATCTTTTTGTATAACATTGTGATTTGTATAATATATAAAGGTAGGAATATTACAAAACTGAAACAGTTATATGGGACAACAATCACTGGTTTATTATACATTATCTTGATAACGATAAGTTATCTCTTATAGTTGGGGATCACGGTGGCTAAGTGGGTAAGACGCTGGCTCACTAGCCTGGAGGTCGAGTGTTCGATCCCTGCATTGGCGGAGAAAATTCATCAAGATTTTCACGCGTGGTTCTCCCTTGTCAGTAATACAGGACAGTTGTCTAGTCGTTCGAATGGGATGAAAAAACGAGGTTCTGTGTACACATTGACGTGCACATAAAAGATCCCTTAACAGTTGGAATTCGATATAAGAGTAGGCTGTAGTGCCGCTGTCCGGGCAAAATTTCCCTCATAGCACACTGCATGGTGTATGCCCGTCTTTATTAGCCCAGTTCGGAGCAGAACAGTAGGACGTTAAACCCCATTTCATTCCCCCTTATAGTTATTAAGCACAATACTATATAGTAAACTAGGAGGTCTATATAGCTTTGTGCTTAACCCTTAACCGGTCATTATCGACTATAGTCACCACAACGTTATACAGCTAAGTGGTCACGGTCGACTAAAGTCGACCACAACAAGAACCTTTTTTAAAAGCCATATTTGAGTATTTATTTTCGTATTTAATTGATATGGCCATGCATGCGCGTCAGACAGGAACTTGTCTTGTCAAGGGCATTGAGAAAAACATGTCTTTGTTCAACATTTTTTGACGAAAAACGTAATTTAACGGTGTCGGGAACGTTAAAGACGCTCGAAGTGGTTGAAATACTTATGAATTATTCCGAATCAGATTATATCGATGACACCGATTCTGAAGACGATATTTCTGATGAAAAGGATTTAGAATGATTTGCAAATTATAGATCAACTTATCCCCAGCAACTTTTTTTATTGGTGTCAAGAGTCTACCACTTATAATTATTCGGCAGTAGTCGATTGAAATAGGCATACAAAATATTTCACGTCAGCCTTTATTTAGCCTGACGACTTGACGTCATAACGTCAAAATGACGTCGACCGGTTAAGGGTTAATAAGTATAAGAGGATACTTATCGAAAAGTCGTGCTTGTGTATATTAAACCAGTGAGTGTTGTCTCATATAACTGTCTCAGTTTTGTTATGTTTCCCTACGCTAAATGCCACTAAAGGATTAAATAGGATTATTAGAAATAGAAGGGACCATACACCGTAACCAGGGAATCATTTAATCTTGTGTATCTAGCACTAGTTTCTTTCACATTTGTTTAATATCAAATCTTTAAACTTTAAACTCAACACAAATACAAATTAGATGATTTCAGGTGATTTTAAACGATTTTAACAAATTTTTAAACAAAGATTTAATATTGAATGAATGTGAAAGAAATTAGTGCTAAATACACAAGATTAAATGATATCCAGGTTACAGTGACATATATGTATATTAGCATATCAGCTAGAACCAAAAATACTCAATCAAACGGTTAAACATGTTCCAAATTTTATATGTACATTTTAAATGATAGATTTTGATTTTTGTTTGTTTGTAATTGATATAGTCCTTTCACACTAAAAGGAAACCAGTAGATGATAATTTGACGGTATTTAGTAACTGGATGGAGCAATAAACTATAATACATACTTTAATGGAAAAAGTTTGAAAACATTGAGAGTATACTCCTAGGACTGGGGGGTGGTGGCCGAACGGTTAAACTGGTGTACATTAGAACATAAGGTCTGTCATCAAGTCATGTTGCATGGTTTTGATTCCCTGCTTGTACGTGACAAGGACTAGGGTCGTCTGTCCAACCTCAAGGATTTTCTGGTGTCGTCAGGTTTCCTCCCACTTCTAAATACGCCTATGTGCAAGGAGTGTATTGAAATAAAATTGAACAATATTTTAGTCCCGAAATTACCTATTTTGTGTCGAGTGGACATTTCTCTCTTTCTCTCTTCGATTGGGCTTGACAAGGACAGCTGTCGTTCGGATGTTACGAAAAGCTGAGGTCACATGTACACATTGGTGTGCGTGTTAAAGATCCCTTGGCAATCGAAATTCGATATAAGAGTAGGCCATAGCACCACTGTCCAGACAAAATTTATCTCATAGCACGCTATATGGCATATACTCGTCTTCATTAGCACAGTCGGAGCAGAACAGTATGATCTTAAACGCCATTTCATTTCATTTCCTCGAAACGTTGCCAAATTAAATTAGTAATTGTTTCTCCATAAGTATGTGTTAATAGTTTAAAGTTCAATAGATAACCAATTTACATCTAGAACTTTTGTAATAAGTTAATATTTTAGATATGTAATTAGAAAACTTTCCCCAGGTACACAATGCCAAATTTCAAAACTTTTATAGATAGATCATTAATCACAGCATTACAGAGACCTGATATCGATATCATTACAAGGACCCAACATTGATATCACTACAAAGACCCAACATTGGTACCATTATATGGACCCAACATTGATACCATTATAAAGACCCCCAATAATCGATATCACTACAAAGACCCAACATTGATACCATTATAAAGACCCAACATTAGTACCATTACAAAGACCCAACATTAATACCATTACAAGGACCCAACAAGAAAAAACTAAAATTTCTCTGCCCCATTGTTTCCCCTGTGAAAGGACTATTTTTATTAAATACGATATTATCAAATATGAATGCTTTATTGAATTGTTTGACCAAATCAATCATGTGACCTATCTATGTCCTGTGTTGATTGGTTAATCCTGATTCAATATTTGAATTGTTTGACCAAATCAGTCATGTGACCTATCTATGTCCTGTGTTGATTGGTTTATCCTGATTCAATATTTGAATTGTTTGACCAAATCAGTCATATGACCTATCTATGTCCCGTGTTGATTGGTTAATCCTGATTCAATATTTGAATTGTTTGACCAAATCAGTCATGTGACCTATCTATTTCCTGTGTTGATTGGTTAATCCTGATTCAATATTTGAATTGTTTGACCAAATCAAACATGTGACCTATTTTTATCCTGTGTTGATTGGTTAATCCTGATTCAATATTTAAATTATTTATTTGTTGACTAAACCATTGGTTGTAATGAACTGGAACTACACAGGACATGATATTCGGTTGAATACAACTACTGTTTATTACTGAGACAGTTTTTGACCAGGTTTCTCCCGTCTTAATCAAGGAGGAGCCACGGAGGCTAAGTGAGTAATCAAGTAATCTAGTCGAAATGTAGCTTAGCAATAAACAGTAGTTTTATTCTATTGAATTATGGCCTATGTATGGTTGTAATATCCAGGGTTTTTTCCCCACTCTCATTTGTTTGCACTTTTGTTTTGTTAAAGGATCTATGACTCTTTATTCAACAGTATCCATATATGTAGATTCAACTAACCAGGCACAAATGACTGTCATTCAATTTGGACTGCTCACATATTTCACCAAACATAACTAATTAGAAATGACAATAAAATTTTTAAAAACTAAATGTAAATCGATTTAAATCCATGTACATTCATTTTACATTATTATATTTTTTTCCACGCATTTTCTTCAATTGTAAGTTTAAAAAGAATAGAACTATATACCCTTTAATGCATAGATTTTTAATGCAATTGCATTCTGATTAAAATGCAGATCTATATTTCGTTTTTTTTTTTATAGTTCAAAATTTTGTTTATTTGTCTTTACTACACTAGGATCTGGAAGAGTTGTTATATAACCCGCATTCTGGTTGATGTGAGGGATTAGGTCTGTTCACGAGGTACTCGGAACTATGGGTAACCCACTAGAAACATCCACGCTGATTGGTTAATTAAATGTCTGATGTCATAGGGTCAAAAGCCATTCATATGACCTGACGCGACCTTTCATTACAACTGGTCAGATCTTCATGTAGTAGAGGCCATCGAAAGTATAAAAAAAAAACCCAACGAAATATAGATCTGCATTTTAATCCACTACAACCGGTCAGATCAAAAGTATAAAAAAACCGAAATGAAATATAGATCTGCACTTTAATCATACTGATAACATTTGTTACATTTTTTCAGTCACTAAAATTATTTTATATTTATAGTATTATTCCGTTTTTGTTTTTCCCCCACGTTTGTTTTTTTGATGCATAGATTTTTAATGCATTTGTTAGATTTTTTTCAGTCACGACAACTATAGTACATGTATTATTCAGTTTTGTTTTTTACCCCACTTTTGTTTTTTTGCACTTTGTTTTTTTTGCACTTTGTTATTTTTTGCACTTTGGTTTTTTTGATGCATAGATTTTTAATGCATTTTGTTTCAGTCGCTAAAAATTGTTTTTTTGCTTTAAGGCATTTTTTTTTGTGCCTATAGATATGTGCAGTTATGAATATTATTGTTATATATCTTTATTAGAGTTTTTAAAAAATATATTACAGCATTTTACACTTTATTTTTTTGCTATTTTTCTTTAGAAATATAAGTATTGATTTTGTTGAAATAATTTGAACTTTATTAGAGTTTTCTGTATTCACAACACAGTATTATATGATGAGTAATATTAACATAAAGATTCATTATTTAAGAGCTAAATCTGGCTATTGCAGGTCTTTATTATTTAGACATTTATTAACATGACAAGACCATAATTGATGCTCTAGACCATACCAATTTGAATATTTGCTCTTTGCTTCCTATTCCTTGAGAGAAGTCAATAATTTTACAATGGCTATTTATCAAGACCCTAAAGAATTAAAAATTAAATTGGCTTGGCCTACTTTTATGATCTAGTCAGAAGGAATGTTTCCTGATGTTCCATTGATAGTTATCTTTTAGAATAAAGCTTAAAGATGCATTGTGTACATGGGCGTCACACACATGGGGGGTGGGGGGGGTCCGACCCCCCCCTAACTGATTTTTTTTGGGGGGGGGGTCTGAATATACTTGGACCCCTCAAAAATTTACATAGTAGGCCCAAACTCCTATTTATTTACAACAATTATTAAGATTAGTTAAGATTCTATCTGTATAAAACCTGTACATATCCCAATATGGTTTACATTGCTAAAATAAAACACAGAGAAAATCATCCTGGAAACATGTGTGAAGTGAAAAGTAACTGTGTTCCATAAAATTATGTCTAGTTAGCCTGTCAGTAATATTTTGTTAATTTTTTTCTGCAACTTATCAGAGTGAATCGCATGTAGGTACTCAAAAACATTATCGCCTAAACCAAATATTTATCGCCTGCTCGACCACCCACGTAACAATAATACTTTGTACGCGGTGTCTGGGCCAATGAGCAAACGAGTTGTGTAGACAGCATGGCCACATAGTGTTTATATTTTTTAGGGGTTTTAAAAAAGGGTTAGGGTTGCGGCCCCCCCCCCCCATATATATTTCACGGCTACGCCTCTGATTGTGTAAGATTTAGATGAAGAGTTGGCACAGGGTATATGATAAAAAAAAAAAATAATTAGCAATTATTGAATGTTTAATCTGAAGATTGATTGCATATTGAGGATTAATAATCTTTGTGAATGATGTCTCTACCTGTGATTTCTTGTTGGTTGTTATACTTACAGTTACACTATATACTATCGGTCAATAACAGATCACTTGCTGACGGTCTATTTCCAGGGAAGTTGCGGAAGGTTGAAAATTGCCATCTGCCAAGTTAGACATAAGAAAGGTCAGGGAAATGTCATATTCCTGAAGCAATGGCCCGAGAAATCCCTCTCTGGCCATTGCTGGATTGGCTTCTGATACTTGAGCTTTTGAGGGAGATACTTGAGCTTTTGAGGGAGATACTTGAGCTTTTGAGGGAGATACTTGAGCTTTTGAGGGAGTGTGTCATTCTTCACGTTCAATCATATCTATCCTAAGTACAGGAACATGACTGCCGTTTGTGTAATCTTGGGTCTTCCCAAAAACTTTGGACAGTGATTTAAGGTATTAAAAACGGTGAAAGTATTGTTCGTCTCCAAACATTATTGTGTACATTGTATCCGTGTTGATAGCTTCATTTGTCACGGAATTAATTTTTCTGCAATATTCTGCTATGCACTGGTTAATTGAGCATAATAAAATCGTGAGTCATGACGTAACGTTATGTAAACATATTTGGTCCAATTTGGAGCGCTGTTTAAAGAGTAATGATATTGTTACGCAGTTTACTATTGGTTGTTAATCGGAACATTGACCAGTCATAATTTGGAACAGAAATTTGCTTCCTTTACAGCAGTGTTAAGTGGCATTAGCTCTAATCAAATGAAACACTGTGAGGAGTATGGGGAAATGTGGAAATCTTAAACCCTCCCCCAAAATTCTAAAACCTTACCCAGCCATATGGAAATGTTATGTAGACTATTAATTAGTCATTTATTAACATGACAAGACCATAATCAAGTCTCGATGCCATCGGATAGGTCTGATTTTAAGTAGATTAGAAATGTTCAACTATTTAATGATTTAATCTAAAAATGGTGAAGTGAGGCTAAGCTTAGAACAACCAGTAGGGTAGTTATAATCAGTGCACACATCTTGTCAAACCTTCAAAGGCGAATATCTTTGCTCAGAATAAAGTAATTTTCAACATATTCATTTTGAATTATCTATTTTCGAACTGTTCTAGCAAGTTTCAGAAGAATAACCCCAAATTTCCCTGTATATATCTAAAGCCGCCCCTGATTTTCAGACCGCAAGTTATTTCAAGTATTGAATATACCCCAAAGATCAAAGAGATTTACCATTATAGGTTTATAAATACACATAAACTACTCTAGTTGTTATGGCTTTTTGTACCAATATTTTCTGTTGACATTAAATAAAACAATGAAAGATATTATTTATGGTCTTGTTTTTTGTTGACCTGGCTTGGTAGGTGGCAGATAGAGTTCTTAAGTGGAGCAGGATGGAGGACCTAGCAAGGGAATGTTTTCAAGTTGCATGGATCGGGGGAATATCCAAGAGTTGGCCGTAACGCCACCCTCAGGGCAAAATTTCTCTCACCTAATGCACCTGAGGGGTGGTGGGTGGATGGCTGAATGGTTAGCACGTGCGTGTTTTATCCGTATCATATGGTCTGTCATTGAGTCAACTGGCTTGGTTTCGATTCCCCGGTGGTATGTGATAAGGAGTAGGGTTGTCTGTCCAACATCGTGGGTTTTCTCTGGGTCCTCCGGTTTCCTCCCACTGCTAAAGACCCCTATGCGCAAGTGAATTATTGAAATAAAATTGAACTATATGTTAGACCCAAAATGACTTAGTTTGTGTCGAGTGGACATTAAACCCTATTTCTCTCTCTATCTCAATTATGTTTGATTTATCACAAAAACAGAGTAAAAAACAAACGAAACTAAATACAAAGAAGCAAATGAGAAAATGTAAACTGTCTCGAAAGACAGCTGTCTGCTGACTGAATGACGTGACGTAAAAGGCCGTAGGTTGCCAATAACGTCAAAGGTCGATAATCCAGATAAGATAACCCCAAAAGGTTAATAAGCTATCCATTCAGGAACTAATTGAAATTATTCAGCTATGTAATTGCACAAAATATAATACGTAATACCCCTACAAGAAATGTAAAACAGGTATGCTGAAGAAATCGTAGGCTACTATGAATGTGTATTTATATAAAGGCATAAAATAAGGGCGATAATCTAGATAGGATTAGGAAACTATAGAAAATTTAAAATGAATATTAAATTAGATCATTATTCAATATGTAGTCGATAATATACTTATAAGAAATGCTAAACTTGGTATGTTGAAGAAATTGAAGTTTCGAAATCACTTTTATAAAATGCGTAATTGTGTACCGCCTTTGGCAGTACTTTTAAAATAAAGAGATTTTAATAACAACAAGGCAGTAATAACTTAATGATGCATTATGTAAGAGCTAAAATTTGACCTTAAATTATTAATTTAGACATTTAATTACATGACAAACTCATAATCAACTCTCTAGACCATACAATGGTTGGGACTTTGAACGGATTGAAACATGATCGCCATTTAATTATTTAATTTAATAATGGATAATCTAGACTTTGTTTATTATCATAACAATGATAGCAATGAAAATCAAGACTACGTGGTTCTTCAAACAGTCATAACTTCGCTCAGGATTAAGTAATTTGACTGACATTTTCAATATATTCCCTTTTCATTATCAATTTTCGACCTATTATAGCGAGAACTGTCCGCTCTTTATCTAATTCTTACATAATGCATCTTTAATTTTTTTTTTAAAATATTCATCATGCTTGATCTGTTCTATTCGTTCTGTCGGGATTCTTCATATGTTAGTTGACCATCTTCTGAAATATATAAAACATCAACCAAGTTAACTCTCTAAGGAGAGAAATGTCCTTTTAACGAGATAGAATTCGAAGAATAATAACCGAAAACACTGCTGTCTAGAGGAAATACTGGATGTTTTTATAAGAACTCTGCGAGAGAAATGTGTGTGTGAGAGAGAGAGAGAGAGAGAAATGGGGTTTAACGTCCACTCGACACAAACTAGGTCATTTCGGGACGAACATAATATGTTTTTTTTTAAATTTTATTTCAACAATTCGCTTGCGCGTAGGGGTCTTTAGCAGTAGGAGGAAACAAGAGGACCCAGAGAAAACCCACGAGGTTGGACAGGCGACCCTACACCTTGTCACGTACAACTGGGGATTCGAAACCACACCAGTTGACTCAATGACAGGCCTTATGATACAGTACGCACGTGCTAACCATTCGGCCATCCAGCCCCCCAGGAGAGAAATGTACTTTTAACGAGATAGAATTTGAAGAATAATAACCGAAAATGCCACTGGATGTTTTTATGAGAACTCTAAGGAGAGAAATGTAGTTTAACGGAATAGAATTCGAAGAATAATAAGAATAATAATCTAGGGGAAAATAATGGATATTTTTATAATAACTCTAGGAAAGAAATGGGGTTTAATATCTACCCGACACCAATCCGATCTTCATGTAGTGTAGGCCATCGAAAGTATACAAAAATGAAAAAGAAATATAGATATGTACAGAAAAATCGCTGAAACATTTTGTGGAATCCCATGTAAATGATGTCAATGAGGATTTATCTTTACAGCATGGAGTTGGACATTGTTTATTTCAGTTCTGCTCCAACTTGGCTAATGAAGACGGGCTTATGCCATACAGTGTGCTATAAGTGAAATTTTGCCCGGACAGCGGGGCTGTGGCCTACTCCTATTACGAATTTCCAACTGTCAAGGGTTCTTTTACGTGCATGCCAATGTGTACACGGGACCTGTGTTTTTCGTCTCATCTGAACGACTATACGTCGTCCCTCACCACTGACAAGGGGGAAACATGCCACAAAAGCCCCGATAAATGTTCTCGGCCAATGCAGGGTTCGAACATGGGACCTTCTGGTAAACGAGCCAATGTCCTACTCACTGAGCCACCCTGGCTTCTCAACACAAACCAGGTTGGGAATAAAATGTATTTTGTTTTAATAATGCCTTTGCACGCATGGGGTTTTGGTAGTTAGGGTCAAACAGATGATCCGGAGGAAACCCATGAGGTTAGGCAGGCAACACCACGTTAAGGTTCATGCATTATACCATTTGTGAAATAAATGAAATAGGGTTTACTTTTAAACACCAACCCGGTTAATGAAGATACGCATACAGGAAATTTTGCCCTTACAGTGTCACTTAAACTTATGTGGAAATTTTTCTTTGACTTACGGTTTGTATCCAATTTTGTAAAAGCGTTTCTATAATCAGCATCAGTAGAAACTGAAGTTGTATTAAACCAGTTCCATGGTATTATACAATTACTCAATTCATTCTCAGATAGCTGGTCATCATCTAATAAAATACAAAAAATGAAACTGAAGTGGTATGAAACCAGTTCCATGGTATTATACAATTACTCAATTCGCTCTCAGATAGCTGACTATTAATCTAATAAAATACAAACATATCAGTAGAAACTGAAGTGGTCTGAAACCAGTTCCATGGTATTATACAATTACTCAATTCTTCCTGAGATAGCTGGTCATCATCTAATAAAATACAAAAAATGAAACTGAAGTGGTATGAAACCAGTTCTCAGATAGCTGACTATTAATCTAATAAAATACAAACATATCAGTAGAAACTGAAGTTGTATCAAACCAGTTCCATGGTATTATACAATTACTCAATTCACTATCATATAGCTGTTATTATTTCATAAATTGCAAAAAATATTATCAGTAGAAATTGAAGTGGTCTAAACCCAGCTCCATAGTATTATACAATTACAGAATTCATCCTCAGATAGCTGGTTATTATCTAATAAAATACTAAACAGCATCAGTAGAAACTAAAGTGGGCTGAAACCAGTTCCATGGTATTATACAAATACTTAATTCACTCTCAGATAGCTGGTTATTAATTAATTAAATACAAAAAATGAATCTGAATTGGTCTAAAACCAGCTCCATGCTAATATACAATTACTGAATTCACTCTCAGATAGCTGACTATTATCTAATAAAATACAAAAATATCACCAGTAAAAACTGAAGCGGTCTGAAACCAGCTTCATGATATAAAATTACTCAATTCATCCTTAGATTATAGCTGGTCATTAAATAATAAAATACACAAATATCATCAGTAAAAACTAAAGTGGTCTGAAACCAGCTCTAGAGTATTATAAAATTACTGAATTTACTCTGAGATAGTTCGCTATTATGCAATTACTTAATTCACTCTCAGACAGCTGGATATTAATTCATAAAATACAAAAACGCATCATCAGAAACTGCAGTGATCTGAAACCAGCTCCATGGTATTATACAATTACTGAATTCACTCTCAGATAGCTGACTATTATCTAATAACGTGTGGGTTTAAGTTCATAAAAATCGGTCATTGAGCCAAGTGTGTGGCGTGGGTTCGATTACTTCAGTTACCTCCCACTGAGAGGGAGAGGGGTCAGCTCTACAAGTCATTTAGGGACTAACTTATGTTTCAACGAGGTTGGACGGGCAATCCTACTCCTTGTAACCTACAATCGAAATAATGCCACTTCACTCATCTAAAGCGCACGTCTTGGGCCTTTCGGCCAACGAACCCTCTTATCTCCAAAAAACCTTACGACTAACGAACGTTATATCTCTAGGATATCTTACGACCAACGAACCCTATATCCCCAGAAGACCTTACAACCAACGAACCCTATATCTCCAGAAGACCTTACGAACAATGAACCCTCTATTTCCAGGAGACCTTACGACCAACGAACCCTCTTATCTCCAGAAGACCTTTCGACCAACCAACCCTCTATCCCCAGAAGACCTTACGACCAACGAACCCTCTATCGCCAAAAGACCTTACGAACAACAAATCCTCTATCGCCAGAAGACCTTACGACCAACGAACTCTCTATCGCCAGAAGACCTTACGACCAACGACCCTCTATCGCCAGAAGACCTTACGACCAACGAACCCTCTATCTCCAGAAGACATTTCGACCAACGAACCCCCTTATCTTCAGGAAACAATGAGAATCAAACTTACAATTTGTATCGTACTTCCGGAGTTCTATTTTGAACTCATCAAAATCCACATATCTGTTGGAGTTTCTGTCTGCAAAACGGAAGGAAATTGTCTGTACTTGACCTTTATCAAATCTGAGAATAAAAAATGTTTTATCATCAAAATTCGTAATCGTGAAGTCGCTGATCGCCATTTGCATTTTTCGGAAAATATCTAAAATCTCATGGCTTAATAACTCACTCAAATTGATTATTCAACATTTAATAAAACATGCATTACGCAAGAGCTAAATTTGCCTATTGCAGATTTTTCATTAGGCCTTATCTGTCATATAAATTATTAATTAGACATTAATTAACATGACAGGACCATAATCAACTCTCGATGCTATCAGATGGCCCCGATTGTAAGCGAGAGAGAGAGAGAGAGAAATGGGGTTTAACGTCCACTCGACACAAACTAGGTCATTTCGGGACTAAAATAAGGTTTTAATTTTATTTCACTAATTCGCTTGCGCGTAGGGGTCTTTAGCAGTGGGAGGAAACCGGAGGACACGGAGAAAACCCACGAGGTTGGACAGGTGACCCTACTCCTTGTCACGTACAACCAGGGATTCGACCGATTGTAAGCAGATAGAACATTTTTTTATTCATACTTACAGTTTAGGGAAGCAATGAATGCCTGAAAAAAAAAACAGAGAAAAATTTTGATTAAAGATACATTATGTAATAGCCAAATCTGGCCAGATCTGCCTATTATATAAACTATAAACTATTGAGGGGTTGGGTGGCCGAATGGTTAGCACGTGAGCGCTGCGCTGTATCATACGGTCTGTCATTGAGTCAACTGGCGGGGTTTCGATTCCCCGGTTGTATGTGACAAGGAGCAGGGTCGCCTGTCCAACCTCGTGGGTTTTCTCCGGGTCCTACGGCTTCCTCTCACTGCTAAAGACCCCTACGCGCAAGCGAATTATTGAAATAAAAATTAAACCATGTGTTAGTCCCGAAATGACAGAGTTTGTGTCGAGTTGACGTTAAACCCCATCTCTCTCCCTCTCCGCCCCCTCTCTCTCTCTCTCTATATATATATATATATATATATATAAACTATTTTTTTAGACATTTCTTCAACCCTCTAGACCATCGGATAGCCGAGATTCAAATGGATTAGAACACCCGCGAGAATTAAAAATTTAATGATAAAATGAATAATCGAGACAGAATGAACAATCTACGGCTCTCCCCTCAAACATTCATAACATTGTACAGAATAAAGTAATTTCAATATAATCATTTTTCATTACCTTTTTTTAAAAATTATTATAGAAAGAATGGACAGCCCTTTATCTAGATCATTTCGGGACTAACGAGGTTGGACAGGCGACCCAATTCCTTGTCATGTCAAGCGAGGAATTGAAACCATGCCACATGAATCAATATCATTAAAACAAGGTTCGATATGATGTACGATTATCATGAATACTGTATGATAATTCAAAGTAGCTAAGTCTCTAACTCATTATCATCAAAAATTTTCGACATTGAAAACACGAATTATTTGTCAATTCAAATCAACATTGGTCTTTTGATCTTACAGGGAAAAGATGGGCTTCTGATATCCAATATTCAAGACAAAATAAAATTTTTACCATTGGTACACGAATCGTGTACCATAATGCGTTTCAGCGCCATTTGAAACAAGGGACTCAAAGAACGCAGCTAGACATATTCCACAAGTCATGCCAAACGGTGACGCGATATTCTTATCTGGAGATCATGCGTAATAAATATCTTCTGTGTAGACTGGAATAACCAGACGCTAAAGACTGTCATTCAATTGAGACTTCTGGCGTATTTCGCCGAACATAACTGATTAGAAATTACAGTAAAAACAAATCTGAATAACATATGGTTTAATTTTATTTCAATAATTCGCTTGCGCGTAGGGGTCTTTAGCAGTGGGAGGAAACCGGAGGACCCGGAGAAAACCCACGAGGTTGGACAGGCGACCCTACTCCTTGTCACGTACAACCGGGGATTCGAAACCACGCCAGTCGACTCAATGACAGACTTTATGATACAGCGCGCGCACGCTAACCATTCAGCCATTCAACCCCCCTACACTGTGTATGACATTTAAATATAATTTGTATAACTTTAACAATTCAAACAATATTCAATATGATACAGAACTACATATATTATAAACACTGTATGATATCTAAAGACCAGTTAAACAAATTAAAATGTAATTATTATTTCTAAGAATGTTGGGGGATCACGTGGCTAAGTGGGTAAGATGCTGGCTCGCTAGCCTGGAGGTCGGGTGTTCGATCCCTGTATTGGCCGAGAAAGTTCATCCAGATTTTCCGGCGTGGTTTCCCCTTGTCAGTGATGTAGTATGGAGTGCCTGACAAGGACAGGTGTCTAGTCCTTCGGATGGGACGAAAAAACCGAGATCCCGTGTACACATTGGTGTGCACGTAAAAGATCCCTTGGCAGTTGGAATTCGAAATATAAGAGTAGGCCGTAGCGCCGCTGCCCGGGCAAAATTTCCCTCATAGCACACTGTATGGCGTATGCCCGTCTTCATTAGCCCAGGTTAGGAGCAGAACAGTAGGACGATAAACCGCATTTCATTTCATTTCTGAGAATGTTTTTCATATCGCTTTGCTTAGCTGATCATTGTTTGGAAACAATGAATGTGCAATTTCGTAGAACTGGGTGTCAATTATATAAATTGGCATATTGAGCATAAAAAACATTAATATATAAAAATGTAACAAAAGTATTTGCTTTACCCAGCTTCAAATAGCTAGACGAAATTTATTTTGTTTTTTTCTGCACGACTGTCTTTGGTTTCTTACCTCTCTTTGTCGGAAATATTGCAAAAAATTGCCTACGGTTTTTATTTTTCGGAAAAATAAAAGGTTCCCAAATTATGTTGTCCACGATTCGCTTCATAAAACAAATGAACAAAATTATGGCTAATTGAAATTTTAACAAAGTCGCGTAATATCGACACTGGTAAGGTATATGAAGCATAATATTCTTTATTATATAAAAACGTGAAAAAATACTACAGAAAAGGTCCCCAGATACGCTGTCCTCGATTCGCTTCATAAAACAAATGAACAAAATTATGGCTAATTGGAATTTTAACAAAGCCGCGTAATACCGACACTAGTAAGGTATATGAAGCATAATATTCTTTATTATATAAAAACATGAAAAGTATATTTGAATTAAAAAAAGCTTCAAAGAACTAGAATAATATTTTTAGTCCGTTTCGCACGATTCTCTGTCGTTTCTTTCATATCTTTGTCGGAAATATTGTATATGGAACTGAAGCAAATAACTCTTTTAAGGGCATTGAATACGATAAAATGCACATTTTAAAGCTAACAGTGTATGATATATGACATTTTTTGTTATTTGGGGGGATAAAGTACATATTAATCACCAACAAAATACCATTTTTTTTACCAACTATTCAGAAAATGGAGGAAAACTAAATTTAGAGTGATCCTGCATTAGCTTTTTTTTTTTTTTTTTTCAATTCGGACTTGATTTTTCAAGAAAAATAACTTCTGTTAATCTCACCAGTTGATAAGCACCTTGTGGTCAAGAGATTTTAATTTTTGATTGGTTAATCAAGTTTAATTTGTTGAGCACCAAGGTCGCCGCCGCATGGTCATAATATATAATATTTTAATCAGATTGGTGTACAATTGGCTAAAGTATTTATAATATCATCTTTATTTCAATAGAAGGCTTGATCTCGCTTTAACTACGTACATCTTATCAAGACCTTCACGTAATACCCTGCATATTTCGGCACTAATTTCAATTGGGTACAAACCTAGCTTGTGAGTCTATCAGATTCCTCGACCGACGCGAATGCCAAGTCTCGCGCTTTCAAGCTAAAATGTCTACCTGTGATAATCGAGTTGCAAAGTTCAAGGTTCGTTCAATGTCAAGGTTTCCGTGGAGGCCGCGATGTCACAACCTCTGATTGGACGATACTGTTAATTTATAACGTAGCTATAAGTTCGGGAATTGTGAAGTAATCTAGCAACGTCATGATGATGTAAAACTCGCAGTCGTTGCTTCAGCAACGTGTTGTAATTTATACTAGCTTCAAGCATACGATTTTAATATAAACATTTTTATGTGCTCTTTAACAATGGTGTTTTAGATAATAAATTAGACGAATAAAACATAAAAGGATGCTTATGTATACAACTAACCAGTTTAAGACAAACCAAATGTGGAGTGAAATTAATAAAAGCAATATGAATTTGGGGAATTTGTGGAAGACATTTAATTTGTAAAATTAGCTCAGAGCAATTACGACGACGATTTCCGAACTCTGCATTATTAACTGACACTCATAATTGGCTATATAATATGGAAGCCTATTGCGGCCATTTCATAATCTCGACGCGATGGAGCGAGAAGTCGATGGCGAAAGGGCGAAAGTACGAGACCGCGAGGATTATGAAATGGCCACAATAGGCTTCCATAATATAATATACTTAAATCCAGTTATGGTCAAATTGACTTAGAGTTGTGACAAGAATATGGCACTGAATTTATGGAAAATACGAAGGCTTATACGCTCGTACATGTGTGGTTCACAAGGAGTATCATAAATCAGATTTGTGACGAGAAGTTAATACAAATAGGGCCTACATTTAACTTAAACATACATTATGCAAGAGGTCTTTCTTTAGGCCTGCAATGTTATATAAACTATTAATTAGACATCTATTAACATAGAAAGACCTTAATCAACTCTCGATGCCATCTTATGTGTCGGTTTTTCGCTGGATCTGAATCCGATTTGCTGCTCAACGCAAATTGATGATTAAATCCAAAAATGAATAATCGAGACTATGTTTTTTTTATCTTACCGATTTTGGTAATGATGATCGAGGCTGGGCCTAAAATTCAATCGCTAATATCTCGGTTTAGAGTGAAGCAATTGGACTGAAATATGAAGCATATTCCCTTTAGTGAGAACTGACAGCTCTTTAAAGATACATTAGTTAAGAGTTTTATAAAGAGTTGGCCGATCTTGTTATAATAATTAAAAAATAGATGATAAAAAAAATGTTGAAAATTTCAGTCAAATTACTTTGTTCTGAACGGAATTGTCACTGTTAGAAGTTTGGACGAGAAATAGGCATCAATTCTGTCTTCACCGTCTATGAGAATTGGCGATCGTTTGATTGACAAACGATAACTCCACCCACATATGCTCGATTATCAAGTAACATGCTCAATGGCTATGGTAGCCTCGCTTGGTAGGCTTTTCATCACCAGTTTCCGGTTGTGACATCAGCGAGTAACAGTAAACGTTAGCTTGGTCCGCCATTTATTGATTTAATTTTAAATGGACGAGGCTGTTTAAATCCAAACCGTATCCAAGCCAGCCGTGGGTCTACAAAGTTGATTTTAAGCTTGTCCTTTAAATAAAGGTCTAATTAATAATTTCTTTAACATCTGAAGCCTAAATAAAGACTTCCAATAGACAGATTTAGCTCTTGCATAATGTATGTTTAACTAATCGCCCATAGTGCTCCTTTAATATCCTCTAAAAGTTGACCATTTTGTAATGGGATTGTCTACTGTCTTTGTTGACCAATATATAGCCGGAACAGGTCAGAACATAGAAAGCCACCAAATGCGATGGTCAATAATTTAATAAACTTTCCACATACTACACCCCCGCCCCCTATGTTCGAATGTAAATAATAAATACGTGGATAATGACGTGATATGATGAACTGCCATTGCTATTGTCACGTGACCCGCCGGGCACAGACAAGCGTTAAAGAGAGGGAGAAATGGGGTTTACCGTCCACTCGACACAAACTAGGTTATTTCGGGACTAACACATCGTTCAATTTAATTTCATAAATTCGCTTGCGTGTAGGGGTCTTTAGTAGTGAGAGGAAACCCGAAGAAAACACACGAGGTTGGACAGGCGACCCTACTCCTTGTCACGTACAACCTGGGAATCGAAACCCCGCCAGTATGATACAGCCATGCAAGTCGAAAATAAGAAATTAGGAAAAAAACGAGGGGCGCTATTATCGCAGTGTATTATTTCTTAATTTCCCATTTTCGAGTCCATTTTGGCTTGTATAGCGTGCTGTTGCCTCGCATTTTGTCGTAACGTCTACTTTTGGACTTTCGTTTTTTGAAGGGGCGAAAAGTAGAAATTATGAAAGATAGTTATAGGCTTCTATACTATTGTAACACCTCACTGGTTTGCACGAATAAAATGAATAGTCAGACCTTTTATGCTCCTTAACGCCGTCACATGTGTAAAAATAAAACAGATATTTGAGTAACGTCCTTGTTGAATAAGTGTATAATAATATATAATATAAAGAAGACGGTGTGTTAAATTGTATACGTATCTATAACATCAACGATAAATAAATTCATTATTTATACATTTGGGTTATGCGTGACTTAATTTCTTTAATAACCAGAAGCCTTTTATGAAGGGTGTTTCAAGTTTCACCGGTATCCCTTAACCAAAATAAATCTAGAAATATCAGATAAAATTATACATAAAATGGTCCAGTAATGCATAGGCGTACGAGCTTGAGGAATGTTTGAACATTTAACTGCCGCAAACGCGTTTTCCTGCTATTCATGCCCGTCAATACAGCAACTGCAATGTGGTCCAATATAGCCTACCTTAGGTGACTTACCCGAAACCCAAATCCCAAACAACCAATCAATCGTCGCGGGATATGGGGGACTCGCGCTCCCCGAGAAACTTTTGACAATTTAACCGCCGAAAATGTGTTTTTCTGTCATTCAAGCCCGTGAATTAAGCAACTTCAAAGCTTAATTCCAATCAGGTTGCAACGGAAATCCATATATACTCCCGCAGTGTTTCGTTTGATTAGAGCTAATCCCAGAGAGGGATTTCTCGGGCCATTGCTTCAGGAATATGCCGAAATCCCACCCTATGCCGACCTGAATTTCGACCATCCAATCATGCTGTTGCAGCTGCATTCACAAATAATAATCGATGCCCGAAAAATGTCGCACAAAGTAGAGTGGCGCCAGACAAAATGTTTTAATCCATAGTCAATTCAGTCCAAATTCGTGGTATTCAATTAAAAGAAAAAGAAAATTAGTGTTTTATTAGATTTCGGGCATTTTATTTTGCCAAACTACATGAAATAATAATTTTTGTTTTCACTTTGCCGTCTGCGCCAAAAGTCATATTGCCCGAAAGTTAGCGGGGTAGCAGGGATCGAACACGCGAACTCCAAACTAGCGTCTTACTCACTTAGCCACCGTGGCCCCCATGGCCCCCATTCCATATTAACTATCAGTAAATCAAATAATACCAAGCAGTGTGAATGACAGTATACAATAACCGTAAAATGTAAAAGTAATGAAATACAACGTATTGACATGGAATTATTGTGATACTGACAGCTTGGTAACACCAGCTTGTTTCTCTAGGAACATCTGGTTATATGCCTGATTTACTGGTGATATAGTACTGATTACATATATATTACATATATAGTAAGTAAAACACGTATAATGGGGGGGGGGGGCATGAATAAATAAAGATAGAGAGATAAATGGGGTTTAACGTCCACTCGACACAAACTAGGTCATTTCGGGACTAACATATGGTTCAATTTTATTTCCATAATTCGCTTGCGCGTTGGAGTCTTTAGCAGTGGGAGGAAACCGGAGGATCCGGAGAAAACCCACGAGATTGGACGGGCGACCCTACTCCTTGTCACGTACAACCGGGGATTCGAAACCACGCAATAACAGGCGTTATGATACTGCGCGCACGTGCTAACCATTCAGCCATCCAACCCCCCTATATGAAATGAAGTGAAATGGGGTTTAGAGTCCAACTTTTCTGCTCCGACTGGGCTAATGAAGACGGGCCTACGCCATGCAGTGGGCTATGAGGGAAATTTTGCCCGGACAGCGGCACTACGGCCTACTCTTATATCGAAATTCAACTGCAAAGGGATCTTTTACGTGCACGTCAATGTGTACACGAGACCACGGATTTCCGTCCTTCCCGAACGACTAGACAGCTGTCAAGGGGAAACCACGCTGGAAAAATTACTTTTATATACAAAAGGAATATGTAAGAAAGGTCTAAGTATCTATCCTAAATATATCATTTTAACTAGTTCTTGTCTTTAACACCTCGGATTTTCATTCTACCCGAACGAATAGACAGCTGTCCTTTTCAGGCCGTCCGTCCTGCACCATTGACAAGGTAAGAAAGGTCTAAGTTTCTGTCCTAAAGATATTATTATTTTTATTAATTTAACTAGATATTGTTCTTTAACACAAATTTTCTTACCTGCTACAAGGCTCAACAATACTATTAATGTCTTCATTTGTAGACCCTGGTGTTGATCTGCGCTGTTGTAATTGTTGTAGTGTGTATATAGGCTGAACTGTAACTGTTCGCCTATGATTACAATGCGTTAAATAGTAGGTGTAAACACACCATGCACCAGATGGCATAAAGTGTTAATTTCCTATTTAATAATGTGATCAAAGTTGCGCAGTTTAAGTATGGAAAGCCGTTGCAGTCAAAATGCCAAAATTAGTGAAAATGAACAGATTGATTTACAGAATTAAAATTTACAAAGACACGGGATCTAGTAAGGAAAATATGCTTGTAGTAATTTAGATGGACGTTGTCTTTCCAATCTTATTAAAATAAAGATCTATATTTCTTTCGTTTTTTTAATACTTTCCATGGCCTACATTACATGAAGATCTGACAAGTTATAGTGGCTTTTGACCTTATAAGTTATAACGTCAGACATTGATTATTCAATCAGCGTTGACGTTTCTAGTGGTTTACCTACAGTTCCGGGCATCAAAAGGCCAAGAACTCACCGTAACAGACCGTTTCTTTGGCTTATCGAACGTTACCCCCCCCCCCCTCTCTCTCTTTCTCTCTCTCTCTCTCTGTGTTAGTTAAATATGCATTTTTGAATTCCAATTCCTCCATACATATCAAGATATCATGCAGTGGGCCTAATGTTTTTTGGTTCTCAGTTTAAAACTATGGTATTTTGACTTATCTGTTCCTCCATAAAATTGTATGATAAAATTAAAAAAAAAACAAATGCGAACAAACCAAACCATTAGACAATATTGAAAGTCCTAAAAAAAAGGTATCGGCAAAATGGTGAAATCAGCAAATTGACTGTTCACCATGAACAAAATACATGGAGAACAGTGGTAACAGTGTCCGGAAGCGTAAGCTTACCCTGTCTGACGCCACATCCGCCATAGCTGCATCCAAACCATTAGACGAAATCTCGGTTAAATAGCGGCAATACTATATACCGGAAAATTATATCTAGAATTATAGCCGAAAGAGACATATTATATTTATTAAACAGGTCAATATGACGGCCATAAAACTTTTAAAAAGCTTTTCTAAGTTAAGTGGCCAAGTATCCGTGTAGTTGAAGCTGCCTCGATCAACTCAAAAAATCAGAATAAAAGGACCAAGCTCTCGCGTATCGAATTAACTGAGACACATTAACTTCGTAAGCTGGTGATAGTAGAATGTTACTATTAATAAATGGAAAGTTGACAATTGGAAAGTCATAGTCATAACGTTGATCTTATAATTTGACACGCAGGTTATCACATTGTCGAAATCGACTTTTGTATTTTTGACTTATACCGACCTCCATTCGTTATACATGTATATTTCAATTTACAATAATGATATGGTAGACAATTTTAAACTATTGTATTTTTGTGTGAAATTGTTTCCTGCCTGTAGGTTTATTAATATTGACCGTAACATGTTGTGTGTATATACTATTATCGTCACACGTCACTGACGCCACTGACAGTGGTCGTACGATTATTTTATTAATTAAAAGGGTATTCTATTGAATATATTTGAACTGTTCAATATTGACACAAACAAAACAGTTCATATAATAAAAGCTGTTGTATTTTCAATATATAGAGGATATTTGTCGTTTTAGAGTGAATAACATATTTCATTTCATCGAGAAGCAAGAAAACTTATATTTTCACGAATGCGTAGCATGAGTGAAAATATAAACGTTTTCTTGCTTAGAGATGAAATAAAATATGTTATTCACGACAAAACGACAAATGTTCTATTTATTTTATGATTTTACAATCATTTTAGTTAAAAACATCTAGCCAGTGAAATAACACTTTTATTTCACTGATAAAACGCGGTATTCCACTACTGATCATAAAATAAATTATATAATGGATGTCGTTTTCTAGTTCCTTTAGGAACGGTCGCTGATCGGACCCTGTTCCTGGATTCCCCAACTTTTCAGCAATTTTTCTGTACACATAGAAATACAAAAAATGGCGCATGGAAACACATGGGAAGCGGGCCTTACACAGTTTTAAGGAGAGAGAGAACTATATCCCCCACTAAACACGAACCATCAATCTGATTAAAATCCATATTTCGGTTTTTTTTATACTTTCGATAGCCTACACTACATGATGATCTGACCAGTTGTAGTGGAATATCGCGTCATGTGTCATACGAGCGACGTTTGACCTTATAACGCCAGACATTGATTAATCAATCAGCGTTGACGTTTCTAGTGGTTTACCCCCAGTTTAACACGCCAAAAATGCTCCGTAACAGACCTTTTCATTGGCTAATCCGTCACATCATCCAGAACGCGGGTTATATAAAAAAAAATTCCAGATCCTAGTGTAGTAAAGACAAGTAAAACGAAATAGGATCTGTGTTTTAATCAGATTGGACGCAACATTAAAGATGGGTTCCCAGAAAAGTACTGGATTCCCCGAAAAACACTCATGGAGCGTATACAGGACAAAAATGTAAGGGTTCCCCTAATCAACAGCCCGACGATTAGGAACTTCTGCACGCGTGATGTCAAAGGTCACAAGCGAACATTGAGCGCTTGATGTACAAGTTGATAAACTTTATGAAGAGTTAGACGTATAATACTTTTTGAGACAAAAATGACGGAAAAAGACGCGGGTAGTGGATAATCCGAGAATTTAATTAGGATTCGGTATTTGTAATAAATAGTAAGCGATTAAAGACAACATCGTCTTATGTATGCAATGAATTCTCCTCTGACTCCCAAGACGTGACGTAAACATGACCTGGTTTGATCGAATTTTAATAGCAGGGCATTCCTTCGCAATTATAATGTTATGACAAATTAATTAGTTTGAATATGTTTTTAGTCCATATATACCATTAAATCACCAAGTTTGTACGCGGGAACCCATCTTTAACCTGACAATGTTTTCCCCAAAGCTTGTATGAATTTTACCATGGAAATTTTGGGATCCACAGAATTGAATTAGCATACTGTTAAATATATAACTAGCTGGTTTCCATAGTACCGTAAACAACCCTCTTTCCTGCCCTCTATGTCCGTTTATTCTTCAATTCAAGGGAGATTATGGGTGGTTGTCTAGGCCTAAACACTTTTATGTCCAAGTAAGATTATCTAAATAAATATTGATATCTAGAAGTTGTTAGAAGTACACTTATAGTATACTATGAAAGATATTGGGGTTTACAGATAGTTATTAACGAACGCTTGCATTGTCCTAACAATCAAAAACACTAAAGCACTGGTTGGTCATCTTCGGGAATACTACACCTTTACGTCAATTTTAACCACTCCATTATGCCCGTTACCAGAAATGACTGCTATAGGGTACCGCAATTATAGTCTTAATATTCAGGCGTTGTATGGGTGGTGGGGTGGAGGCAATCTGAATAAAACACAGATCCTATTTCCTTTTGTTTTTATAGTTCAAAATTTCGTTTTACTTGTCTTTACTACACTAGGATCTGGAAGAGTTGTTATATTACCGGCGTTCTGATTGAAGGGAGAGCTTATCCAAAGAAACAGTCTATTTTTTCTAAGTCCAATATCTTGTGGAACTCTTGTAGTGAAAAACACCACAGACCCAAAACACTAAGTCGAAAATTTTGTGGAATGTGGTACCACACAGGCACATGGGGAGGTATGAGAAGAAAATTTTGAAAAAATTGATTTTTGTTCCAAGTCCAATATCTTGTGGAACTCTTGTGGTGAAAAACACCACAGACCCAAAACACTCTATCAAAATTATTCTAAGTCGAAAATTTTGTGGAATGTGGTACCACACAGGCACATTGGGAGGTATGAGAAGAAATTTTGAAAAAATTGATATTTTTTCTAAGTCCAATATCTTGTGGAACTCTTGTGGTGAAAAGCACCACAGACCTAAAACACTCTATGAATATTGTTCTAAGTCGAAAGTCTTGTGGAATGTATTTATTTTCAGAAACCCAGTATCTTGTGGAACTCTTGTGGTGAAAAGTTCCACACAAATGCACCCAAACCTTGCCATAAATGGGCTAGCGAGCCAGCGTCTTACCCACTTAGCAACCGTGACCTCCCTCATAAAATAATCTAGAATTTCAACTTACTCTGCAGAGATGAAATAAAGAGAGAGAGAGAAATGGGGTTTAACGTCCACTCGACACAAACTAGGTCATTTCGGGACTAACACATGGTTTAATTTGGACAGGCGACCCAACTCCTTGCCACGTACAACCGGGGATTCGAAACCACGCCAGTTGACTCAATGACAGACTTTATGGTACAGCGCGCACGTGCTAACCGTTCAGCCAGCCCCCCCCCCCCCCAGATGAAATAAAAGATGTAAAGCTGAGTGCTTCTGGACTAGATATACTATATCGTACGAAAGCCCAGAAAGCTCATTCCAAATTCCAAATTCCAAATGCGAAATTCCAAATTCATGTCTTACCAATAAAATAGCAAATTGGCAGCACCCCCCCCCCCCACTCAATTAAACAAATTAGAATTTAAATAAATTGTACTTTTACACAACTAATCAGTGCTAGTTTACTTCTCTGATGCCTGGGTCGGATAAACGCCCGTTCCAAATTAAGAGATTCGAGATTCGAAATTCCAAATTCCAAATTCCAAATGCGAAATTCCAAATTCCAAATTCGACATAATCACGTGACATTACAATCATTATGGCTGCTGCGGATTTGACCTATACATTCAATATCCGTGGAACGTTTACACTGGAGGAACTGAGTAAGTGATCAAGTACTACTACTGATATGCAACCGATCACCAAACTGTTCATATCTGCCGAAGCAAACCGGAACTGGAATATTGTTATTATACTCTATCTGATTAGTCAAAAGAAAAAAAACCTGAACCGATTGGTCGGATCAGATTTGGAATTTCGCATTTGGAATTTGGAATTTGAAATGAGCCTTCTGGGCTTTCGTATATATCGCCCTCCCAACAAACTGTCCACAAAATCCATAGTATCATCATAACACTGGTTATTTGTAATTAAGGTTTTGTCGTAAGGGAAATAATCCCGGACACTCTTTCTAGGCAGAAATTTTCGAATCATCCGGATATAATTTAATTCATGTTGGTAAGTATCGAGAAGATTATTCGTAAT